GCCAATTTTATAGCGGGTTAACTTAACAGGAAGTATAAGGTTATAAAAAATATTGTTATATAACAAACGCGACCTCATGTTTTCAATGCACCAAGAGTAGTTAATTTTTGATATCTCCCGTGGGTTACTTGTACTAATCTAGAAGGGCCTAATCATTTTTTTCGTAGCGTTAAAAAGTTCATAAGGATTTTAATTTGGCTCTTAGCCAATAACTATCGACTTAGGAAATTTACAAGTAATATTTGACGTAAAATTGGCAAAACACTAGAGCGGAATGTTAAGGGACCTACTTGAAAATTCAACGTGCACCGTGGCACATTTCTATTAATTTATTTATAGCACTGTATTACCACAGGCGTGATATATAATCTCTTAATCAATTTCCTCTGTTGAGAGAAGACGCAGAAACCATGACTCCCCTAACGATTTATTCCGCCATCAACGAGAAGAACGAATGTGCCTGATCATTAAGTAAAATAGTATATATCAATAAAGACGCAATAGCAAAGTAACAAAAAAAAAACATTTAGAGAAATAGTTAAGTTTCAGTACCGTTATATTATTAAGAAATATACATGATAAGTTAACTGTTGAGGAAAAAATACCAGTTCACAAGTTTTGACGCAAATTACCATTTAAGGCAATTTAATGGCTACTATTGATTATTTCGTCGCTTAGCGGTTAGTATATAATAAAGGTTCATGAAAAATAGACTGGCAGTCGTGTTAATTTTTTTTAGTGATTTTTTTTTTAGTCACATCTGTACATCTCTATGTATACATATAAATTTGTTTACAATTAATTTTAAAAGAGTTAAAAGGCTTAGATACCGGTCAGAAAGGGATATAAACACCAACACAATAAAATAAACTATAATTAGCACATCCCCCCTTTAGTCGACCTATAAAATATTTGGCAGCGAGTACTTGGTGTATCAACAAGAGTCATATCCAAGAGCTTCCCTAATTAGTATGTTGTGGCGAGCACAGGCTCTATAAAGCCAGCTCCTTAATGTATAAAGATATTCTTCAATAAGCTCGAGGTTGCATCCTCTATGTAGTGGACTGTTGCGCACGAACCAAGGGGCGTTCATCACCATCCTCAGGACGCGATCATGTAACATTTGTAGTCGATGAATAGGTTTGCTTGGAGAATAAGCTCAGGCAATAGAGGCGGTTGGGCGCATAATCGATTTGTATAACAGATCTTTGTTTTTAGATGCAATTTGCTTTCCTTCATGGTGAGGGATAAAAACCGTTATAGCTTCTCTGGTTGGAGAAAGACGTAAGAAAGACGCGGAGTCCAGGTTAATCCACTGACTTGCGTACCCCGAGATATTTAACCTTATTTCGAGGAGTGATAGTTTGGCGTAGTAAGAGATTTTTTTTTTGGGGGCTTGAGGGGAGTAACCTGCTTCTTGTTATAATTATGAAAGACATGTAGATAGAAAAAAATAAAGAGGGTAGCAAGGAACTTTGTGGGACACCCACCTTTAATTGTCTAACAGGGGGCTTAACAAACTTACTCTAACAGTAAAGGTTCTATCCGTTAGGTATGCGTGTACCATCGCGTTAAGTAAAAAGAGAGCTGGCAGTAATTATTTTGAAGACTAGATTATCGCGCCATATTTTATCTGAAGTTTATTCAATATATATAAAAAGACCACACCTGTTACTCTTCTATTGGTATAAGCTTTCGTAGCTTTATCCATAAGCCTGAATATCTGATGAATAATAAAGTTTTTTCTCAAAAACCCAATTAAAAACAATTAAAAATTAGACAAAACGCGCGTACTAACCACAAATTCTTGTAATCTTGAAAAGGTCACCGATTCTACCACCTTTGCTAGGCAAAACAACAAGCTTATTGGGCGATAATTCTAATAAAACGGCTAGAGGGTCTAGTTTTAGGGATAAAAACTACTTCTGCTAATTTCCACCGCTTGAAGAGGTAGATAGTTGTGATAACCAACGTAAAAATAATCACGTTCTATGAAGATAAGCGCGAATGTAATAGGAAGCAGAGTAATAGAAATTCCAAAACTTGATAGAAATAATAAAGCAACTAAATCTATAAATAATATTCAGAAAATACGCTAAGAACAATTATATTAAATTAAAACTATAAGAAAAATAGGGAACAACTGAGAGTTAAGCATAACACTCGAGAACAAAAGTAACAAAGCGCTCTATTATAAGGAATATAACAAAACCTAAAATTTTCCAACCAAGAGGGTGGCTTGCTATAAACTCATCCTAACAACAAAATTGCTTGTGACTGTCAAATAAGGTACAAAACGCAAACACTTTAGGGCTATAACAGTAGTCATGCGTTTTATCGACCAATTTTTAAATCCGAGAAAGGTTTTTAAGCATTATATTAAAAATACCGTCGAGACTCGAGGCATTCCTTGCATTAAGGGATTGAATAATAGTTTTAAGTGCCGCACTGGTGATGGACTTAATCTTGTTGCATATGTTGTTTTAAAAGGTAAGCTATAACTAAGGTGGACCCCATGCTTGGGGTGGTGTTCAATTTCCTTGGACTCTAGCATAGTTGGGTGGGCTTCCCATGAGTCGGCAACTGCCTCTATTATTTTGGAGGGCATCTAGCGCCATGGATGAGAAGTGTTATGCCCCTAGTCTCAGTAGATCTAATGGTCCTTGTTTATACCCATAGGGAATTATTCTCTGGCCCAGAAGATACTGATTAGTTCGCCCTGCTTTCGTTAAACCATGCTTTCAATTCCTCCTTAACTCGAGGGTTGATCTCTTAAAATTTTCTATCGCCTGAAAAACAAGAGTTCATATATCTTGCCCTCATATTTGGCGTCTCTTAATCAGAGGTCTGATATGGACTGGGGGGTTTTATTGTTGGTTTTTGAGCTCTTCAAATGAAGTGGGTCTACTATAGACCCCCTCTTTACTTACTTCCAGTTGCATAACAGCCCTGTCTAAATAGGGGGTTTCTTAATGGTGTGCACCCTGGTATCTATGCTTTTGTCTAAATGATCCCAGTATGTTGGCAACAAGTTACCTTTTTAACCCAAATACTCGAGGTCGACTAATATCCTCTCTATGAAGATGGGGTTATGATCAAAATAGAGTCCAAATAGCGTACTAGCGATAACAGGTAAGAAAACATTTGTATTATTGTGATATTTTAAACGCCACAAGCAGAGGCGTTGGGTCCTTTGAAACAATAACAATTAAATTTTAGTCGGCTGTTTTGGCTAAGCTTTTTCCATTAACATTCCCCCGCCTGCTATCCCACAAGGGCTCTCACAAATAAAATCTCGAGTCATTGAGATGCTGGAGGAAATTGCACAAGTCTAGTTTTTTAACTTTAAAATTAATTGTTTTCCATTTCTGCGTTTCTCTTAAAAAATTCTAAATCCTTTTTTTTTTATTTATTGTACTTGTCAACATAAGGGACCATTAATACTAGGGATCTATTGCAGAGTTCTTTGAGTACTAATACAGTATTAATTTAAAAAAACTAGGTCATATGGTAAACATATTATTAGCAAGAGGTTTAAAAAGTGAATTAAGGTAAACAACCTAAGTATACTTCCCTACTAAATATACCATGATGAAAATATGAATTTTAACCGTCATTAATATTTCGTCCAATGAGGAGATAATAACCACGACCTGACTCTTGTAAATTTTTATAGGCTAGATTAGCTGGCGTAAACTGAAACGATACCAAAAATTGGTTACCAGAAAGTGTACTTGAGGATACACCTTCAGACAACTAGTTTAGAAATGCCAGTATGCATTATGGATGATTATAGTCTCTTTGCAAACTATATATACGTTCATACATCACAATGGCCATATCTTATAAATTACCTTAGTCAATAACAGACAGACCTTAAAATTCGTTATAGCAAAAGAATAAGGTGAATGGCAATTTATGCCTTAAAATAGGGTTTAATGTATGACATGTCATCCCACAAGGCACATACGAACTATAATTGAGAGCGACTTTTCTCTAAGGTACTAACAACCTTAGTAAGGCTTAAAGCTATATTTTTGATCGAGGGTAATTCATACTTAAAAGTGTTGTAATTCGTTAAAAAAGAGAACATTAGCGGTGATGCAACCTTGAGTGACAGTTAATTATTTAGAATCCGGTAGATGCGTTTCACTACAGCAGAGCTTTTAATAAACTTAAAAAAAAGGAAAAAATATTAAAAAATTGAGGTCTTTTATTAACTGTGTACATTTGAGTTACACCAACGGCTAAAGTATTTTGGAATGCATTTCATGGCAAGGGAAGTACGTTTATGAACTAAAGCTATTTGGTTTCATTTTAATGTACTAAACCGCTTCGGTGGTGACCATAATGGAAAAAGAAAGGCTGCTTATTTAGATTTACAAGGTCACAAACATCTCTGCTTTTATAGCTAATTTTTTATTTGTGTTGATTGCGCTCAGGGCTATTAGTGTATTTTTGTTAAAGCAAACCCTATAATACCCTGGGGTTCTGTTAAGTAGACCGTCTTTAACAATGAATGGCAATAAAGATGAATAGTGGAACAATTGCCTTTAACGTAAGCACTGAAGTATATAAGCATTTTCATTTTTAACAATAGCATTGAGCATTATAGATAATTTCTGAGATCAGAAAAGAATACATGCCATAATACACTTAAGCTTTTTGAGTTTTAGGGATTAAGGACGACTTAGAACAGGAACTAGTTCAATTTTTAGTAGTTGATAGTTTAATGATGTAAGCGTACTAACGAGTTCGCACACTATTTGTATGCCAACGCCACTGCAATAAAAAGTCATTTGAAGTACTTCGGTAGGCGAATCACTTAACGAGCTCAATAAAGTCAACTTAACAATTCACGAATGGACAAAATGTTCTTAAGCGCAAGGTAAAGCTCAGTGGCCCCTTAAAAATATCAACTTATAAGAAACTATTATATAAAGCTTTAAGGTCTTTAAACTCTAACCAAAACAAGTCTATAACGAGTTTTATCAATAACTTTATAACAAATTCCAAAAGAATTAGTTCCAGTGGGTGAGCTGCTGAGCTTTGGCGTAGAGAGAATCCACAACTTTGTTCATATGGATAATCGATTGCAAAGCGACGGAATAGGATTCATCCACGACTTTTGAGTCATAGACGATGAGACAACCAGCGCCTACACAGTAACAAGGAATACGAAAATAATAAAATAATGGACATGAATTAACAGGTCAGCCTTAAAATATATTATAGATGGGGAATAATATAGAATAACTGAAAAAATACACTGGCATCAACAAACACTAGAAATGTATAGCAAATTTAGAAAGCTACGAGCCGCCGGGCCGAATAGGATTAAGAATAAAAGGAAGAAGATGAGTGATTTTGCATATAAGGGTATTAGCTAATAATAACATTGTGTAACCTCCTTCCTATCTAATACTATATTGAAAGTTAATATAAAGACTTAATAACATGACGTACATGATATACTTGAAATATGGCATTTAGTACATATAAGCAAATGAATACATATAAACACACTAAACAACATAACATCGCTTTCTTAACAAGTTCTATAATTAAAAAAATTAGATATTTATATTACACGCATAACAAATAAATAAAATAACTTTTGAATGCACAATAATTATAGTTATTGATAAATAATTATTCTTATACAAAAAAAAAAATTTTAAAAAAAAGAAATAGACTCGAAATATATATATAAGTATTATTATATTCACAAGTTCTTATAACCTGTTAAATAAATAGAAGTAATAAAAGATAATTAATACAACAGCTATAATATATAATAGTATTATTCTCACGTTGATCAAGCACTCCTGCAAACTTTTGGTCTAGAATCATTTTGGAAAGTTTTTCTTCTACAACAGTAACAGGAATATTTATAAGCCTTAAAAATATATGAAAATCATTAAATTGTTAATACGTAAACTAAAATGTACATATAAAATATATAAATAAATAATAACAAATTATAAAAATTATAAAGGGGGAAGTACAAAGAGTATAATAGTTATCAAATTATACAATAACTTTTACATTGTTTGTTATAATACGAAGTAAATGTAAAGCCGAATAAAGAATTTTGATAAGGGATTATAAAAATATAAATACCATATATAAAAAATAAAAAAAAAAAGGGGGGGGGGGGGGATTTGAGGAGACCAAAAATATAGTTTATGTATAAAATAAAAATATAATAGAAACAAAAAATATAAGAACTAATAAAGTAATTTAAAAAAAATAGGCATAAATATATATAAAATGCACCTCAATTCGGTAAAAATAATAATTATTGATTTAGTAATAATAAATATAAATAATACAATTGAAACTATCGAGAAAGTAAATAATAAGAACACAAACATAAAAATTATGTAAACTGATATTTTGGAATTAATAGAGAATAGTAAAAGTTATAAATAAGTGAAAATATACAATAAACAAGTGAAAATGAAAAGGTTATAAGTAAAACAAAAACAACCTTAATATATATAAAATAGAAAAAATATTATATTAACCAGTAAATGATATATAAATATTATGTATACCTATAATGAAAGAGCAAATAAAAAAATTGTAGCAATAAAATAATAAATATAAATAATAATTAAAAAACCAAATTTTTAGTAGAAAAAGTTTCTATAAAAATTATTACAGTTTTATAAAAATAATATAAAAAAATAAAACAAAAATAATTATATAAATAAAAAATATTTATAAATATAAGAAAAAAGTAAATGTACATATTTTGTACCCAAACAAAATATAGTAACAAACTTATATTAAAAAAACAATAAATAGAAAGCAGTAAAGTAAAACAAAAAACTTTACGCAGAAATATGCGCTATTTCGACTCGTGAAAACGGTTCGATGATCCGAAAAAGATTCTGCTCGAACATTGTCTCGTAAAGATCGGTCAAATGGGAAACAATGATTGGGTCCTCCGACAACTTCGACGTCAATGAGAACAGTTAATAGCAAAAGGACAGCAGTTTATATAATATTTAAGTAGTAGCGATAACAATAATATAAAAGACAGCATAAAACTGAAGCCAGCATAATTAAAAAAAAATTTTAGAAGTAAGCAGTATTAATGTCATTATTACAGTAGGTAGTAAACCTTATAACTTTCCATCAATAAATTTTGTTAAACTTAATAATTTAATACACTATGCTTTATAAACAAATAACCTCATTGGGGTACTCGGCCAAGACGGATTTAAATTTATCCAATGAGCGATCGCGTAACGAGGAGGCCACCGCCTTCATGGCTTCCATGTGTTTTCCTGCATATTTGCTGCAAATTTTGTTATTGATGATGCTCTCTACGTCCTTTTAGAATATTTACAGAATTAGGTTTATTTATAATATATAAAAAATATAACAAACTACATACAACTTATTAGTAAGCAAACACGAAAGAAAGAACAAATAGTAGTAATACAGAAACAGAAGAAGAAAAATACACATAACTGAACATGATATAATTAGATGAACGACAATTCTTTAACCAAACAGCTCATTTTTATTTTAATAATAAGGACAACGTCTGCAACTATATAAAAAAATAATTTATATTTTGCATTATGATAATTACTACAAGCTTAAAAAAATCATGTTTTTCATACTTATAATGAAAAACCCTCCTATATTCTTTTAAGATAATAAACAGTATACATCAGAAATAATACTTGAACTATATTTAATATTTATTATAGTAAAGTCTATATTTGATATTTTTAGAATTAAAAAGACTAAAAATTAGTGAGTAAAATTTTACAAAAATATTTATATATACAATATTAATAGTAAATATTAAAAGTATTCATAATCGCTATTGCAAAAAAAAATTAAAGTAAAAAAAACCTAAAATATGCTTTAAAAAACTTGAAAGTATAGATTATAAATGGGAAATGTCCTCATGCTTGTATTTAAAATATATAAATATACAACAACTCATTAATACTTCCGGCAGGTTGAGCATAATCTTAGAAAGAAGCATATACTTGAGCGGCGTCGTGGCCAACTCGGCTTCCCCGCTGGAATCGTAACATTCAAAAGTCTCATAAAAGTACGAATAGGCCGTTTTAAAGTCCTTTTCTTCCGCATTTAGTATGCCGGACTGGAGATCCAGAGCACCTGCAAATAATGATTAAGTGTCCATTAATAAATAAACAAGACTCTAACTAAAATAATGAAGGATAAACTTTAAATATAAAAAATCAAATAATTATAAATATCTAAAAATATTAAGAGACGATAAATAATCCTCAGAAAATATATAAAAAGCATTAATAAACTCATTAATGTATAATAATTAAAAATTCGTATTATTTGTTAAGAACACAATAAAACCAAGAATAAAGTAAAATGGAAATCAAAAAGATATTTACAACTATAAACTTTATAACTATTTAATGTTAAACATTTGTACTTATTTGAAAAAGTTTTTAGTTATACAATGAGAATAAAAAGCGCATATCATGGCAATTATAATAGGAACTAAAGAAAAGTAGACGACCTTGCAAGCGAGGAGGACAGTAAATGGCGTTAGCAGCGGTCCTTGCTGAGGTCAAAGCGGATCTCGACTTGGTCAAATTGGACAGCGAGTGATAAGCCTGATTAGTGCAAGGAAAAGTCCGGCGAGAAGTTAAAAAAAAAAAATTAGAAAAGTATAACTTTGGATTCCAATAGATGGACTTCCGCAAGCAAAGCTTTATCGTCCAGCTTTTTTAGCTCTTTAGTAATTTTATTGATTAGACCAAGAGCCTACAGCAAGAAAAATAAATGAACTTGGATTTTCTTTCCAACTTTGCTTTCGATAATAAAGAGAATTTAAAAGAAGTATAAAATTAGGAAGGGAAAATAGTACGAAGTAAAGGAAGCTCAAAGCAATGTATAAATTGAATAATAATAATAACATTCTTAATTAAAGAGAGCAACGAAGTTTAAAAAAAACTTTTATCTTAACGATATAAATAAAAAATATTTTAAAAGAACAAGGCATCGTACAGATTAATACTGAATAATAAAACAAGTATGAATGCAAAAATTAATATATTATACTGAAACGCTTATCGTCACTATCGGAAAAAAATTAGCCATAGAATAAAAAAAATAGTGCACCTCTATTAGTAAAAATTTTAAAAAATATAATCTACTAATAATTTGAAAAAAAAAAAAAACTAAAATTGAAGTAAAGAATTCAAAGCGAATTATTATAAAATATTATTTGGTCACAACTTTTGTGATGATGAGGTAAATATTATTATAATAAAAAATTATTTTAGTCAGTGTAATACAGACGCGTCTTCAAAGTTAAGAACAATAATATAAACAAAGATAGTTCAAACATATAAATTACGCGAAATGGATAAGTTATATAAATATACTTTATAAAAAAATAGTATAAATATATAAATTAAAATTGTTGTAAATAAAGTAAACTGAAGATTGATGCAAAACGTAAAAAATAAAAATATAATAACTAAAAGAAGACATTACTCAAAAAAGGCTCAAGGAAAATTTTACTTTTATAATAAGGTCATAGGATAAATGGTATATACCACGATATTATAGTATATATAAATATATCTGAAGCAAACGATGAAGTAATAGTTATAATTCGAAAATACAAAGGAAATTAGTAAAAGTGAAAAGAAACCTCTGTGTAGCTTTTGTTTTCCAGGTATAAAGCAATCAAGCGGCACTCCACGGATTGCCTAAGAAAAGAGCGTTTTTCTTTCTGACACCACTCGACGCAGTCTTTGCAAAGATCAATAGCAATGGCAACGGTTATGCCTTCCATATCCAAATAAGATCCCACCATAGTCCGCATCTTGATTTAATGGACATATTTGATCAATAAATATACTATTTAAGAATTCGTAAACATATGCATTATAGTTCAAAGTATTGATTGTAAAAGTGATGTTTTTAATTTTTCAAAACTAAATTTATGTGGTGTTACATAAAATAGATAGAAGTGCTAATAGAAAAGAAGCTATAGTGATTATTTCTTTAGGTATAAAAAAATCTTGTTTCTTTTACAAATGAAAAATATCACGCTAATTATAATAAGTAGGATATGAACCAACTTCCCCGACTTTGATTTAGATAATCTCGTAAGGAATCCCCGACTTGACTTAATCATGGTTTCCAACTTAGAGTGACAATTATGAAGAGAATACCACTCAGAAAGCTTGTATATTGCCTTTTATTAAGTTTTAATAATAAAGGAATATTGAAGAATATTTAATTCATATGAACGGACCTTTTCTATATCCTCGACTTGCTGACTACTCGTCTTTGGTTCTACTGAAGAAGGACAGATGGAAGCGGCAAACTTCAATAAATTTTCAAAGTGTTCAATTTCATCTTTCCGAAAATTTAGTTCATCACTTCGATCATTATTTAAAGAAGGTAACAAGCTAGCTTTTGACAGCTTCACAGCCATTTTTCTTAAAAAAACCGACGGGGCGGAGGTCCAAAGTATATACACAAGTTGTTTGCTAGACTAACATCCCAGGCAACCCCCTTTACCTTCCGCAAATGATACTTTAGGGAGCTTCGCAGCCCTAAAGAAAAACATTTTTTTTCCCTTTCAGCATAACATGGTATTATTTATTTTCTAAGTCTAAACTGATGTTGTAACTGTATACCGACTTAACTCTAAAGAACTTATTTAAATATTCTTATAACTTTAATGTCTTTACTTGTAGTATACGCTTAAGCGACACATCAGATACAACTCGCCGTCCTTAATATTACTGCCTTTATCATTATAAACTAAAAATTTTAATATTACGGTCTTCCCGGCTAACTTTTTAAGATACGACTAAAACGGTTTTTCCTTCACTTAAAGAGAAATTAAAGTATTTAGTATTCTAATAGGATTAACAAATACGGACAATAAAAAGATATTTTCGACCCGGCTTTTAAATTTTATTAGTAACTATTTTACTTTAGACCAGAACAATGTTCTTAAGAAAACGAGTCGATAAGATGCAGCCACCTACTGTATATGCACTAATAGAAGACTCTCTAAACTTTTAAAGTTTAATTATTAACAACATAGCTTCCTTAATGCTTGCATTTTAACTATTGTTAAGAAAAATTTGATCTCATAAACGAAATTCAATAGGTAAATTCAAGGTCGTGAGTTGGAAACTCAACGACACGATTTTCTTTTTCGGGTTTTTAACGGCTTACGGAATTAACTTTTGCCCTCATATATACTTATACATTATAAGCACGTGATTACAAAATGGGCTTGACGTAAGAGAGCACCCGTCATCGGCTAAAAATTCCGTGTGAAAAGTGCATAGGTCTTAGCATATTGCGAACTAAATAGAGAAGGGTTGAAATGCTTCTTTCGTGGATGGAGAAAGGAGCGTATTTTTAAAATTAAAAGACGAAGTTAAACTTCTTTTTTCTAACCTATTTAAGCGCTCTGTATACAGATAATACCCTTTTTCTGTACGCATGCCTTTCAACAGACCCGTTCTGCTCATCATTATTCTAGTAATTTGTATATGCTGGGTAAATTCAGTATATTATTTGTAACTATATCTCTAGAGAATGGTTAGGCTTAAGCCTAAGTAAATTCTATGATACAGCGATATCCAGCATATGAGAGGCATTTAGTTTATAAAAAGTAGTTAACCAAAAATTTACGATTATGCTGAATTCTTTTCACCAAAACGAATTTAAGCTTTAGAATAATAACGGGGTTAAAATGGATTTACAGGAAAATTACGGTTTACTACAGAAACGTATTGAGATATACTCTTCGTTGAACTTACAAACTACAAAAAACTTTTTTGGCGCTGTACGAATATTAACTGAGTATAATTATATTTAATTCTAACCGCTCTGTAATTCCCACTCTTTTGTAATGTTTGTTAGTTATGCACTACTTTTCTCTTTTTTTTAACTCAAAAAGCTTTTTTAATGTTTGAAAGCCCTTTAAAGTTAAGTAACAGATTATATAGAGGTAATTTGGGTAATTTCATTGCCGATAATAGTATGATCATTAAGGGAGTGATCAAAATCATTCTCATCACTTGTAGCAGGTGTTTAGTTAAATCCTAGTACACATGCGTATGCTGAGCACACTTTTTACAAACACGTGTCGTTTAAGTAGAAAAAAGTGAGATTACTTTGGTTTAGCTTCTATAATCTCTGCATTTTTGCAACGTTGCTTTCATTACTAGTTAAAGACCGACAAGTTGAAGCTAATATGCTACAATTTTTCGAATCTAATGTAAAGTTAGTGAAATTTTTTGATCCAGATGACAAAATCAATTAAAAAACGTTAGTAAACAGTTTTTAACGAATTAAAATTTCCTTCGAATATACTTTCCAAACAAATTACTGTATAGTTTAACCTTTTAGGCTACGCGCTGTTGGATCTAGGCCCATACGCCTTTAATATTATATAAAAGCATGTTTATAAAAATAAAAGTCTGTATATAAATTTTTTTAAGACTTAAATTTAATTGAGTTTAAATTAAATATTTTGCTTTCAAACTCGACACGAATATTAAGAACTAACAATTAAATAGGAAACATTAACTTTAGAAAGCTCAGAAATGGGTGCCACAGTAAAGAAACAAAGAATTATTTAAAATATTAAGTTCTAACTTACTTTCTTTATAAAGCCCCTTAGAAAGAACACAAAATTAATTACCCTTAAAACTTTAAAGTAATAATGCTAAAATTATCTTTAAAAAAAAAATACTAGTATTAAAAGTTTCGCCTGTATATGCTAAAACTTTACAACCCTTTTCATAAAAATTTCCAAAATCAAGCCTCATGAAGCGCGCACTATGAATCGAAACGATGCATTACGTCAAGACCTCTAAAAATGAGTTTCTATCTTTTTCATCGCGCAATACAATTATCCCTTAAGGACGGCGCGCGCTAGTATAAAAATTTCACAAACCAAGAATATAGTAATGTTTAAAATTTACTCAAGCGAAATAATATTTAAAACATAAACATAGTGTTATTTATTGTTTGTTTTTGAAAAATATATATAAAAAGATCAATAGTTAAAAAGAAGCTCCGCCTTGCTATGCCAGCACCTACAGCGCTGTCTTGATGCCCTTGCTGACTGGTGTCCCAATTTATAAGTTGCTATACATGCAATGAAAAGAAAAACACTTTTAATTGAAAGAAACGCGTCCCTCAATGGTGTCCTTAACCTTTAATTGTATGAATATGCCGTGTATTCTCAAGAAAAAAAAAGAATAAAGTATATAAAAAACAAAAGTATAAATTAAAAAAAATTAGGTTTAAGATTGAATCATTTGTTTATCAATTTTTTAAAAATAATATATTACAAACAACGGACACCCGTAAATTATGTAGAGGCGAAGAGGTCAAGACAGCCACTAAGGCGCAAAAATACCATGATCTTTAGAGGTTGCACTCCATTTTACATATTGGTGGTTTAATTTATAGTTATTAAAAAGTAATAAAGCAAAAACAAGTTAGCGCTGCTTGATACTCCTTTCGTTAAACAGAGCTTTAACCGAGAGGCAAGTTACAGAGGGGAGGGCTGTGTTGCGCTAAAGGGAATGTCGGCCTTATGTGCCTATGTTGTAGATTTTTTATACAGTTATCAATATGTTAAAAATGTTCCGGCCTATGTTAGTGGGTGCTCACCTTTTGAAGCAGATCTCGACTTGCTTTACCTAGCCTCTAAGTTTTCTTATGTGAAAATCTTAATCTTCCCTATTTTATACCACTTAATTAGTCTGAAAGTCAGTTTATAATGGCCGAAAAGTTTAAAAATGTGAATTTAAATATAAATGTATATAATATATGTCGAGCTAGCAGCAAAAAAAGGTAACTCCCAAAGTATTAATAAAGTGTTTTGTCTCACCGCAATAAACTTTATAAGTAATTTTGTTACAAGTTAACTTTTTCGGAAAACTTTTCCCTCAGTTCTTTCAAGACAGCCTTAATATAGTCATCCTCCACGCTTTTACGGTCTAAGCAAGAGTCACTTGCTCTTCTAATAAAAACATTTTTATACACAAAAATAATAAAAATTGAAAAGGATAAATTTGCCTCTCCGGACTTTTCGTCAAGGCTGACTCCTGTTGAAAGGAGGGCTCGTGGTCTACTTTTAAAGAAACCGGTTTTAACTCTTCAAAGTTATTTGGAACATTTAAAGAAGTAAGTGGAGGATAAACAGATGGAAAAGTTGAGTTTGCGCATTCGTAGATGGAGCAAATGCATGCGTCTGGAGGACGAGGAGGTAACGGATGGCTGTCAGTAAGATTCAATGAAACTTTGTTTCGATCTGCAACGTAGTGCGTTGTTTAGTAATTATAAAAAGCGAGCTTAACTGAAGAACCTAATAGTGAAACAAACGAGTGGATACGTCTAAGATGTTCAATATTATCCCTCTGGTAAGCCAGTAGTAAAGAAATACCCATCTTTAACTCTTCAGAATTACAAAGAAAATTATCTGCCGCGCTAAAAATTTATAAAGATCAGAAGGTCTCTGTGTAGCTAGAATAAAAAGGTTACCTGCAACTATTTAAATATAAGTAAATTGAGGCCAACAAATCCAAGTTGTTTTCGAGGGTTGTTTTCAAGGCATTCGCGTCATCTAGTATAATTTGTACCTATACTATTAAATTTTAGAAAAAATTACGCAAGTCATAAGGATAACAACCTCCTCTTTAATCAATTTCTTTTTGCGTATGGTTAAATCTAAATGAAAGTTCTGAATTATTCGCTTGTTATACAAAACTTTAAAATGCAACTCCTCGAAGTTTATAAGTTCCGAAATCAACTTTAAAATTGTGTGTTTTTCTGAGCTCTTACACTCTTTTAAGCTATTACTATCAACAAAAGCCGTGGGAGGGTCTTTCAAATCTCTTTTAAGCGAGGATTGTTTTTCCACCTCTAATCAATTAGACAAAAAAAGGGACTTACTTTTTTAATAGTACAACGCGAAGTACCCTCTTGAGTAAGTAAACCAACTAAACTATTCAAAAAATTAGTCTTAAATCCTGCGGAAAACATGCATAATAACTCTTCTTGCTGTGTAGTGAAAAAAAATCAAAAGATGACTTTTCGTAGTTATATAAAGACAAACAAAGCAAATCACAAAAAACAAAAAAAATGCAGAATAAGTAGAATTTTACGGGGAGGGCATGAAGCAAGGTCAGAAATCGGTCGGTTAATTTCATTTGAGAGTTTATCGAAATCTCAGATGTAGATAGTGACCTTTTATAATAAACAATATAGGCCAGCAAGAGCATTAAAAAATTAATTGTGGATGGAATCAATACGAATATGAGCTTTCTTTCTGCGAAGAATTTATATCAAGCAAAACCTAATAATTAATATAAGGTGTTAAGTAATACTTTTCTGCTTTTATTCATAAAAAATTTTTAATTATTAACGAAAAAAAGGTTCTTGATTTAAGCCTTTTTTCTCATAATTGGCTTGATAATAATATTATACATGTTTAAATTATTAACAGATATATCTCTAGTTATAACCTGAGCCACTATCCCTTGGATGTTGTCAACACGACGGTTAAACAAATTTTCAACACTTTTGCAAAGAATTTTTATTAATATTTCCTTCAAACTTGTGTTCTTTATTTTCTTTAAAAAGATAAAAAAAAGTTATAATTTCATTTACTTAATAAAAAGTTAACTAAATTAAAATTATACTTAAGCACCTTATTCGTCATAGCGTTAAACTTTTTCAATAAAGTATCAAAAGCTTCTTCAATCAACACACACTCACAAAGAGAATCACGGTAATGCTCTTTACATTAATTTATTATATAAATTGTTTACATTCTATAAGCTTTATAATTTCATGCCTCTAATAAAACATTGCAAACAAAGAAGAGTTCTATGATACTCACAATATAACTCCAGTTGCTTCTGGTGGAGATAACATATTGCTGAAAGATAAAACAATTAAAAGTTAAGTGTAAGTAAAAAGTAATAAAAAGTAGCTACAATATTTTCTAAGATGATAAGAAAAAAAATTTTCTGCTTCTTTTTTTATTTGAGATTTGTTTTCCGCTGTAAAAGTTATTAGAATATTAGAGTTTGCTGAAAGGTAATAGAACTTTTACTTAACCAAATAACAATCTTTCTTCAAATATATTTGTTTCTAATTTACAAGAGGAACATAATTTTTTTTGACAATTCTCACAAAGGAAAGTGGCAAAAGTAGCCTAAATGGTTGTGTTAAAAATATTACAAAGTGATTTTAAAAGATAGGAAAGAAGCGATTAATAAACTTTCCAACAAAACAGAATCTTTCCAATAATTTTCGATAAAACTTTTTATATTGGTAGAAACGGACTTTATAATAGAATTATTGTTATCAGAGTTCATTACCACATCAAACCAACAACTTGAATTTTACACTCCTGTATTCTTATTAGGCCCTTCTGTAGTATATGTAATGGTAATATCTTTAAAAAATACACAACACCACACTACTAACAATATGACGTCCACAAAAGTAAGGAAGATGCTAATTGGACAAAAACACACTGTGTATACGCAGATGCACTTATTTTAGTTTAAGGTTTCCCTTAGGTCACAGCAACCACTGGACTAAACGGTAATTCTTGATGAGATATTTAAGTTTCTTTAGGCCCGCTTAATAGAGAGTAATTTCTTTTCCTTTATCCTTTGGTAACGTACGTACAAATACTGATTGCTTGTATAAATTACCAAACACTGCGGTAACCTATTCCCTCAAACAGTTAGAAAGTGCAAGCCTTATAAAGCTCCGATTAAAGTTTTTACACTTCCTTGTTTTACCTTTTTTTTATACTTTTATTTAGATACCCATTGTTTCAATCCTTTTTCATAGGTTTGGTAACTAATTTTTTTTTATTCCAAATTTTTTAGGCCAAGGACATTTATTCCCACGTAAGTTTTTATAACCTAAGTCACATACGGTTAGTAAAACGCATCCTTTAATGAACCACTCTTAAAGTTAAAATTTCTTACTCTTAAGTATGCATTTAGTAAAGCATTTTTTATTACAACACTCACAAACAATTTTTTTCTAAACATTTGAGCACTTTATTTTTTAGAATAATAAAACAAATGAATGAATCTATAAGATTTTTAAAATGTAAAGTATTAGGCTCATTGCCTCTAATAAATTTAAATGTTTCGATATTCAGTGTACCATGCCTCAGTAAGTGTCTCTCTATCTACGACGCCGTCTTCTTTTGAGCCTCAATGGACCCTAAACTAACGAAAACAACAAATAAATAAGACCTACAATTTTTAAAAAGCATGCCTTTCATATCTATGGCGCTGGTGACTGCTTGCGCATGCCTGCCTGTCATTCTTATACAGGCTTAACTTTACTCCCTGTAACACCCCCCTATATACATAATTACATATACGTTTATTAAACTATCAAGAATTTACTACTAACACAGCAAAGCTTGAATGGCTCCACAAAAAAGACTTACTGGACAACTAAAAAAAAATTTGCAGCCTTCCCCACATTATCCGACTTTTATTAAATGTTTTTTAGGTTACTGCAATAACCTTAACCTTAAAAAAATTTATTAATACATTAAAAGGTCACTAAACTTTGCTATGGAATTTATAGTGTTCATAATAAGGCCTTAATCTTTTTAATAATCTTTAGTATTACTATTTACTTAACCGTCCTTTATACTAAGCTTTCATGCTAACTTTAACTTAATCGCATTATAGACTAAAACTAACTTTTTTCAATATCGCTGTCCGATCTGAAGACTGAATTCTCTAGGAGCGTGGTTGGTGCTACGGTGTGCTACCAGGTACTGCACTCTTCCCATTTTAAAATCCGGCTATGAAATTGCTACAGCTTTAGTTAGATAATTAGAATGTCTTAAGATTTATTGAATTGTAGAGTACTTCTTATGGAAACCTATTTGAGACTCTGGAATATGGCCTTCGCAACTTACCACTGCTGAATAATAAACTTATAGGCCGATAAAGATTTTTAATTTTTTTTAATAGGGAATTAAAAAGGCTTTTGCTAACTACCAAGAGCTGGAAAATAAAAAAAAAAGTTTATATCGAATTAATGAGCTCGTTTAATGAAGGCGAAAGCCATAGTTATTATATCTTTGAGCATAAATATTAGGAGTTTCCTCGCAAGTGTTAAGATAGTGAGGGCCCAGATTATGTTTAAGGGCGCAAAGAGAACGGCTCCCCTTTTAAAGTTATTGTGGGTATGGTGCGAAACTTTAGATTTATTTCTAGAAGTATGTACTATAATATCCTCGTGATATATATATATTGCGGTAAAAACTTATAAAATTTTACGTCGAGAAATACGCTATTCTAACATCTTAACTATATTTGATCATAAATTTGTGGTAGGTCCCTTTGTCCTAAAAATATCCTGCAGCCATAAATTTTTTTTTGTTTAGTAGCAGATGCATAATTAGGTTGAAAGTGTTAATTGTATGATCCAATGACAGTGTGCAGTTAAAAAGAAAATTGAACAAAAAAAGGGTAGATTCCATACCACTGAGGATTGCTCTTTGCATTTATATTAATTTTAACTGGTACATTTAATCTATCAAGATTAATTTAAAATTGTATATAAAATATATTCATATTAGTTCAATAAAAACAGGATTTCGGTATTTCGTTTTTGTGGTATCTCTTTAGTCTCTGGAGCTGTAAAGAAGTTTTAGCTTTATTGCCTTAAGAGCAGGTTTAATATATTGTTTTGGTCTATAGAAACCGAACAAAGTGTTGATAGTAACTGTCTACAGGATAGTTTATTGGGAGCTTAATGTCTAGAGGGCATGTGTATTATTAAAAGTGCCTAAAAACTTGAAAGGAATTTATAAACAAAAGGTCCTAAAGAGCTTAGAAGTTTAAGGCAGGGTTCGTAAGCTTCTCAAACTATATGATGACTGCATCATCAATACCTTGTTCTGATGGAAAAAAGTATATTCACTTAGATTTCTGTCCAAAAATGTTTATAAAGTGGGGCAACTTAATTTATGGTATAAGTCGCTTATTTATATTATTTTTTTTAAATTCTTTCTGTAAAATTAAAAACCTTAAAAATTATTAAAATTATAATCAGGTTATTAGATTCTAGCCTACCACAGTATCTACACTCTAAAAAAGGAAAAATACTAAATATCACAGTATACAAAAACATATAAAACACTCTTCAAAACACAAAATATGGATTACACAAAAATCAAAAAAACAAAAGAAACATAGAACAAAAATAAAACACGGAACACTAAAACAAAGAGATATTACATTAAACATTATATACACTAACTATAAAACAAAAACAAAAAAGAAAAGGAGGAATTAATTTTTTTTTTTTTGAGCAAGGAAGAAATCCTTTATTAACCAGTTTTTGGTATGTATTTCTACCTATACAAAAGGTCAAAAAATGCTTCCATATTTGTATAATAAATTTAATTGACCTGATTAGTTTTTACAAAATTTTACTGTATAATTTGTATCATTGACAAAGTGGGTCAAATTATTTATATGCGGTAAATAAATTAATTCCGTTTTCTTGTATTTTTTGTTTTAGGGTTAGTGTACATATTGTTTAATGCAATATACTATTTGTCTTTGATTCTGCGTTTTATGTTCATGTTCTATGTTTCTTTTGTGTTTTATCAAATGTTGTGTTTAAACTGTGATAGTATTTTTCCTAGTTCCACTCCTCTAACGGGCTCCTGGTTTATGGTAAATAGCATCGCTAACAACAAAATTTAGTGTTTAAAATGACGATTAACGGTGTATATGAAAGTATTTTAAAATTTTTAAAGCGTTCACCTCACCAATGGTTGCAACTGTTTCAACGCTAATCTATATAAATTAGCATCCACAATAAGTCTTACTACTCGTTGGCATTATCGTAATCTTGATTATATTTTTTCATAACAAACTTTAAATTTCTAAGCGTGGGGGCATAAAATATTTTTATTTTTTATTAACGCCGATAATGTTTCCCAAAGGAAAAACTTTAATTCGTAAAATTAAGGCTTCTTTAAATGGGCTAAGTAATAAATGGTATGTTAAGTTAATAAGTAAATATATATATATGTATACCCAATACTAATGTTAGTAGCCCTGTTTGTGTAATGTAATTAATTACTCTGTGATATTACAAAAAGTTTCATGTATAAAAACTTTTTAGTAAATCTATATTTAGTAAGCCTTTCTTGGCGGATTCTAAAAAAGACAAGGGACTAATTTTTTTTTAGTTCCATAGGATGTGATAAAACAATATACTACCGTCCTTTTCATTAAGTTTGGTACGTTTATGTAGTTAGCAGGAAATAGCTTAAGAATGAGTAATGAAATATTAAGTCGTTTGAAAAGTGGCGGTAAGCTAAAAAAGCTACTAGGACTTTTATTTGACTAGTAATACGAGTATAAATTACTTGGCAGGCTGCTTTTCCGACCTTAATTCAGAAATGCTTTCTGCAATAGCTTCAAAAGTTACACAAGTAAACTTAAAATCAGAAGAATTCTTATTTAAACAAGGAGATCAAACAGGTTCCCTATACATCGTGGGAGAGGTGACACTTTGAAGTTATCTCTTAAGTGCATATGCAATTAATAAACTGTAGGGGGTCTTAACTGTGACGGTTTCGAGTAAAGTTCAGCAAGATGTTAAAGTTAATGAACTTGGAGTTAATGATTTTGCAGGTCGTTTTTTACTTCTGCTTTAAATATTAACTAAATTTTTGTCAGGACTAGGATCTTTTTTTGAAGAAACTGAGCATTCTGCTTCTGTGCTTGCAAAAACTGATGCCTTAATTTACAAACTAACAAATAGCGATTTTCAAAGTCTTATTACGCAGCATCCTTCCATTGCTTATAGTATGCTTCGATACTTTAGTAAGACTGTTAAGAAATTACGTGCCGGCCTCGTTCAGCATTCCACAAAGCCTTCACAGAAGAGTTCTTCAGTTACACCAGCTGTTCTTTGATTTTAAGTCTGATAATAATTGTTTTGTCTATCATAGACCCTCAAAGTTGCTGTATTTGATACCAAAAACTACGATATTGAGAGCTTTCAAAGAATAAATAGTGAGGGAAAGTACAATTATGAATTCAACTTTCTGGAGACCCGTCTTAGCATCGACACAGCTAACTTAGCACAAGGCTGCGAGGCCGTATGCGTTTTTGTAAACGATGATGTGGGAGAAGAAGTAGTTAAAATTTTAGCCAGAATGGGTTTTTTGTACATTAAATTTTAATAAAAATTAACTTTATAAAATGTTTATGCAGGAGTCAAACTGATTGCTTTAAGATGCGCTGGCTTTAACAACGTTGCCCTTGGTATGGCTGCTGGCTTTGGAATTAGTGTGGTGCGAGTTCCCGCTTACTCTCCGTATGCCGTTGCTGAGTTTGCCACTGCTCTGCTCCTGACGTTGAATAGAAAGATTCATAGAGCCTACAACCGTGTCCGTGACGGCGACTTTTCACTTTCTGGTATTTAAACAAACGAACCCCTCTTTAGAATTTAAGTTTCTAACTTTTGTGTAGGGCTTGTTGGTAACGATTTACACGGGAAGACAGTGGGTGTTATTGGTACCGGGAAGATCGGTCAAGTGTTCGTTGACATCATGCTTGGTTTTGGCTGCAGAGTGTTATGTTACGATGTTTACCGATCGCCGGAAATCGAACGAAAGGCGGATGTGAAGTACACTTCGCTGGATCAGCTCTACGCGGCTTCCGATGTTATCTCGTTGCACGTGCCTCTTTTAGATTCTACACGTTATATAATCAACAAAGAATCAATTAGTAAGATGAAAAAAGGTGTTATCATTATTAACACTTCGCGGGGCGGATTAGTTAAAACTACGGATCTTATAGAAGCTTTAAAGTCTGGGCAAGTGAAAGGTTTTCTTTTGATCTATTTAAGTAGTTTTAGCATATTATTACAACTTCTAAAAGGGGCTGGATTGGACGTTTACGAGAATGAAAGTGGCTATTTCTTTGAAAATAGAGGGGAAGAGACGATCACTGACGACATTCTCTCGTTGCTTTTGTCCTTAAACAACGTCATCTTGACATCGCACCAAGCTTTTCTGACTAAAGAGGCGATTAGTAACATCTCTTCAGTCACACTCGGTTAACGTTGACCAAAATTTATAAAAATTTTGTTAATTTTGGTGAAGAATCACCCGTTTTTGCTAATAATCTTCTTTATTATCTAATTTATTTTTGTTTAATTTATTTTTGTTCAAACTAGAGAGTTTAAAGGAATTTGCTTCGGGGAAAACGTTGAAAAATTTAACTTACTACGTCGGCCCTCAAGGAAATTAAATAAAGTTTTAAGATTAATTTTTTTTAGTCACATTTGCTTTTATTGAAAGCAATGAATTCCTTGAGATTAATATTAGTAAAAAAGGCACAGAGTTATTTATTTAATTAAAAAAACTTCCCAATCTGTATTAATTTAGCATAACACATACTCTTGTGCTTTTCAGTACTACTTTGAAGTAACCTCCATTGAACGTCTAGCCAATGAAACACAAAGGCGCTAGAATTGTCCAAAGTATACTTATAGGACACCGACAGCGCCGTCCGCCTACATGCAAACCTTTATTTATTTTTCTTCATCTTAATCTTTACTTTAGTCTTCAGTGGGGGCGTGTGCTTGGCGTCCTTCATGGGACTTTTATATGGTAATGAGTCTATCAATGGACTGGCATAATGTGTGGTACGTTTAACCCTGTTCGCCTCGCTTCTGAGAGGTCCGCAGGAAACCGCATGAAATACCATGCATGTTGACGCCTTTTACCTACGAGCTGATCTCTTTCAACAGCATTGCTGGGTTTTATGTGCATATATATATATATATAATAGTAATTTTGAAGTAGTTGAAAGAAATTTGTTAAAATTTTTGAGCACTTTTGAGTCGCGTCCGAGTCTTATGGCTGAAACATTGTAAATATCTAATTATTTGTAAAATTTGGAAAAATTAACTTTTTTAGGAAAATTTAAAGTCGAACTTTGGAGACTACATTCCGCTATAGCGATTTAGTGTTTTACCCCTTAAAAGTTGTACTTATATATTACTCAAAAGTCAGCAACTCCGCCCAGCTTGGTAGAAGTCGATCTTCACTAAAAAAAATATTATTTTAAATAATATTTTCTTATGATAATATAATATCAGTCGGCCATTTTAGTTATCTAAATTTTACTTGTATTTCGGAGTCTGCTTTTATTTATTGTTTAAAAGCCTTCACACTTTTCGTAAAGACAGATTTTTTTTTATGGAGAACTATTACTGTAGCACTCATAATAACGGTAAACATCCTTAATGTATCTATGTTAAGTATATAACAATAGCTAAATAATGTTATTGCAAGTATTATTATAATAGAAGTGACGTAAGCAATTAATAACTTCTAATTAATTATATCTACAGGGACGAAAACTTTGTAACTCTTACGCTTACTCTAACCTTATTTTAATATAGAAGTAACTATGACATTAACTTATATTATTATAATAATAGTAAGGTAGGTTGGTTAATGATTTTATTATTTTGTATCTACAGGGTCGTTGTAATCGTACAATCGCCCCATTTAAAAAGTATTACTCTTTTAAAAACGTAACCTGATTAAGCAGTTCTTTTGCGGAGAGACAAACCTCACGAGACTTTTACCTGGGAAAATGTAGATTAATTTGTTGGTTTACTCATCACGGTTGTAGCAAGACTATGCAATAAATCAAAAAATAATTGTTTGAATTTTTTGCGAGGAACTTTAAAACGATGAAAGGTAATGCGAGGTTTTTTTAGCATCAGCTTTACAGCAAGGTCATAGTCAAAAAGAGAAAACTAAAGATTTTATTTAGTCAATTATATGAAATATTCGGTTTATCACAGTTTAAAACATAAAATTAACTTTAGTTACCATTCTTGGTTTTGCAGATACTAAATTTCGAAATGCATATAGCGCTTAGGTTAATGAGACTAGAGAACCACCATGAAAGCTTTAAATCTGCATCACGCCCCAACCCCTCAATTGGGGATGCAAAAGTTACAAACATGATAAGCATTAAGATAAAACATGCATAAGCTATTCTATTATAATTTGCATAAGTATGTTGATTTTAAACGCTGTTTAAGAAATTAATCGCAAGGTTGTAAACTTCTGCTCAAAGCTACATATTGCATAACTTAAAATAATATAATAAATCACTAGTATGGTCTCAACTGCGTACATAACCAAGTGTTCTTAGTAAAGGCTTCGTAAATAGCTATGACCAGTAATAAGATTATAAAGGTTAAACAGCTTATTTGTTTTATAAACTGGTGTAAAAAATGAACGAAACTAGAATAAGCATAGACTCCAGCTAGTTAAAGAATCACTTTTTTTAAATTTTTTTAGGGCTGAATACTTGGCTAAATTTTATAAAAACTTAAACATTTAGTTAGCACCACCTTCATACCTCTCCGATAGAAACTTCTGCTATTAGGCTTCTGATATATATACACGGAAATTAATCATTCTTAAGTGGGAGACTTAGAAATTGTTATACAAACAACATACCAACCAAAGCAAATTTATAATGTATATATTACTAAAATTAATTCCTAGGCATAAAAACATCTGATTCACTAATACCTCTGGGTTTGGCTAACGCTAGATTATAAACGTCTTAATTCGGTTTGGTTTTGCAAATTAAGCCTAAGCTTAAAACCCCCTTGACTCCCGTAGAAAGTGGGCCTTAATGCACTAGGTGTGAAGTGACACCGACAATGGAAAGAAATGAATTCGCAGTATCTCCAAATATTAATTTTTTGAGGAGGTACTAAAAACATTTGAATTATAAAGTAATAGATTGTTATAAAAGGAAGGATATTATACTCTGCTATAAGAATCAGTTTAATTTGCTTATTAACATTTTTATAGACTGTAAAAAACGCAGAATAACATTTTAAGTTTAGTTGTTAGGTATATTATTAGTCAAAAATCATTGTATTATCCTTGTAAATACCTGTTTGATATTATATTTACTTTTACAAAAAAATTTTATATAAAATTTCTCAATGTGCTTTTTACCAAAGTCCACATGCGATTGGGGTCGTTGTAGAATGCTTTCCGACTGTATGCATATTTTTGAATGTGTATACTCTACAGCCATGGGGATATGGAAATTGTATGCGTACTTTTATAAGGAAAAAAATTGCTAGACGTTATCATACAGATATAATTGTGCTATACAACAAAACCTGTTCAGTGTTGCCTTTGGTTCTATTTACATTACAAAAACTGACAAGGATAATGCCAATGTACTAGTTTTTTATATGAACGATTATTTGTGTACTGATCCTTAGTTAACTGGTGTTGTTGTGCCTCTCGAAACATATTCTCGATTTAATAATTTAATATTGCCCTTATGAATTTTCTTGATATAATTTTTAGAAACAGAGGAAGTTTTTCTAATTATAATAATCCTGTTGAAAGCTTTGCTTTGGACAAATTTACGGGACTCCACAAAGTTTGCCAACGGAACAACTTTTTAAGGATTAGATGAAGACCATTCTCAAAGCCCCATCAAAATTCCCTGAGTACAAAAACGTTAGACAAATGTATGCATGCACCTATAAAAATGATACACATCGCTATCCTATACAAATAGTTGCGCTGCTTATAAAATTAAACTTGTTCAGTTTTCGTCTTTTGGTTCGTTGGAAATTACTACAATCGACGAGAATCACGTTAATATAACAGTTTATTAAATGAACTATTTTTTGTTCTACAATAATACATATTAGTAAATGTTATTCATTTGGAAACGTGCTCTCATATTTCTAACACCGTCTTAAAGTTTCGGAATATTTACGTAATAATTTTTAAGAATATATATAACTTTTTCAAGTTTAACATCAATATGAAGGTTTTCGCTTTAGATAATTATACTGACAAGCACAGTTGTATATAAAAGAATGAAGACCTGTTTCAAAAATTTCACAAAGGGCCATCTGAACTTAATCGTATGCCCTCAGGCAACAAAACCTATTTTCAAATGTACACACGCATATATAAAGATAGAGAGCGCGCGGAAATGACACTTAGTAGTAGCTGTGCAGTTTATAATGAAACTTGTTCGCTTTTGCCTTTTGTTTCTTATAAAATTATCAAAATTAACGGAAATGATTATAATCTCACTTTCTATTTTATGAACACTTTAGGCTCGTTAGAGATGCCTAGGAATATCCTGCCTATTGAAACATGTCTCAAGTACATAGTGCAATTGTGCCTTTTGTAGATTATTATGAAATAATTTTTTAAAATAGAGAAAGTTTTTTAAAGTATAATAACCGCAGTGGAAGTTTTGCTTTTATTTATTATACCGTAGAAATATGATATTCGTTAATAACTTAGTAAGGATCAGGTAGCAAGTAAAACTAGTTTTCTTAATCTTTATTAATAAAATTGTCCTTACACTAATCTGTATACAAAATTTTGCTACATTATGTACTGTATGGCTCTTTCCTCAGACCTTTGACTACAAATAAAATCGGCATAGACAAAAGATAGACGCAAAAGCAATGCTGGGACGCTATTCCGATAAGCTGCAAATTTTCGTTTTTCCATACTACGGCAAGACCTAACTAAAATTTATTCCGCTCATATCGAAAATCAAAAGTCATATTTGACTTCAAACATTTATGACTCCAGCAGGTGAGAAGTTAAGGCTTAACCCGGAGCTTTTAAGGGTCACAAACTCTCAGAACTTTCCCCTTATAGAAAAGTACAGGGTACCTCCGAACTTTAAAATAAAAAAGGGGTAAATTTGCGCTCCAAATTGTGCTTGAGTTTATAATGCTAACGCACTGCCAAGCAAAAAAACGAGGGGAGCGGTGAAATAGCTATAACTTTAAAGAAAGAAAATAATGTAAAGAAGAGCTTATGGCTCTTAGACACCACTGTTATTGATGAGCACCACAAGCAGTCTGTTTGTTACTATTGACCGGCCTTCAACCCCTTTTAGTTCTTTGTTGCAGTTAGCTTTGTTCACTTTTTAGGTGTTAGAACTTTTACTCAAGATTTTATTGATTTAAACTTTAAATAATGTTTCTTTTAGACTTTAATAAGCCCTAAAAATAAAATTTAATAAGAAACTTAGTACAATTATTTAATTAATAATCGATTATTTATATTGCTCGATGCATATCCAAAAAAAAACTTTATCGTTTATGGTTCGAGTAATGAGGTAAAATGGTGTATATTATTTACATGGCCCTGAAACGTAGTCGTTGGGTTGTTAATTATAAATCAGATTGGGTAAACTGAATAAACTTTATTTATAAATATTTATCTTGTAACTTTCTTCTCTAAAAAATTAAATACCAATCTACAGAAAAACAGATAAAACAGCAGCCCTTTTACACGTGCCACCATTTTTGTGGACCATTTTCTAATTATATAAATTGGGCATCACTTTTTAAAAAAGAAAAAGTATTTCCACTATATTTTTTTATAAAGATTTTAACTTGGAAGCAATTTGAAGTGCAGATAAACAATTTTTTAAGGTTTATACATTTTAACTTAGAAAGGTATATCTATAGTTTAGGTTTTTTGTTTTTATGTATCAAAGTTTATAGATGAAAAACCTTTACTTTACTAGTATAAATGATACTAAGCATTATCAGGAAAACTTTTAACTGTAAAAAGTTATACCTCGTATGCTTGAAGTAAATTAAAATGTTAAAACAGCACGTGATGTGTAATTTTTTGGTGGTTTAAAGATTTCCCCTTATCTAAAAAAGTCAAATAGGCATAGGAATGCAATAAATACTTAAAAATACTTAAATTTTTGTTTTCTCAAATGGTAATTTCGAAAAAGCTAAAAATTAAGTCTTAATATAAGGTTTTTAAAAAATTAACATCCATTAAATTGCTAGAAAACTATATGAAACCGCACACTTTTGTACTACTAGCTCAGCAAGATTAGTCGCCTTACTCTTGCCACATGAAAAAGTGGGGTCGGACCAGTATTACCCACATTTGCGCAGTTTCGGTTTGCTTTTTTTTTTGAAGTTGAATATTGCTTCGATGTCCGGTGTAAAGTATTTTTTATTAACTATTTCCAAGCTATGCATCTATTTAGCCGTTACTAAGGACTTTATATATATATATATAACTATGTTTATAATATTATTGGGACCTAGCTAGATAGGTATTTATTTTATACCCATATAGACTTGGGACTTGCTCATTTACAGGACACAGAATTTACCCCGGTCACGGCAGTTCATACGTTACTGTTGATGGACGAGTAATTTTTTTATTATTATTTATTCTTAAATTCATTTTATAAGAAATCCTTTTTTTTTCTTTATCACAAGCTTCATAACTTTATATCTCATAAAGTTGCTTCCTTGCACTTTCAAAGAAAATCTAAGCGTTTAATAGCTTGGACACAAGCTTATCGAAAGATACATAAGAAAGGTTTAGAATATGTCTATTTTGCTTATCAAGAAAGCTTACTATCTTTAACTTTTATTATTAGGTGCTTCGACAGTTGCTAAAAAACGCAAAACCAGAAAGACTGTTAAGGCTGATCGAGCCATTGAAGGTTTATCTAAAGAAAAACTAGAAAAATTCAAAAATGAGTCTTCTGAAGATCGAGAAGCAAGAAGGAAGGCGATCCTTCGGCGAGCGAAGGAACATCATCAGAAGTTGCGAGAGCAGCAACGAGCTGCTCAGCAAGTTGTAGCGGCCCTGCCTTCTAAAGCGAAAGGAGGTAAAACGCGGTCTAATCAAACAAAACCTCATACTTCTGGCAAATCTAAGAAATAATTAGTACTTCAGTGGTATTTTTTAATAAAGAGTAAAATATTAGAATTGATTTTTTGTTTAATTATTTACTGACATCTTTTATGTTATTTCATTTCACTTTTTTGAAAATGCTATAATTAAGTTGGCCTGACTGTGACATATTTTTATTACAAATACATTTTATTTGAGAATTATTAAATATTTTTCTATGGAGTTTGAGTTTAAGTTATAAGTGTTATTTACCTATTAGCTTGCAACGCTGCTTCTCCAGATTTGCTTTACTCGTAATATAATTTTTTAAAGAAATTATGTAGTTTGAAATTTTCCAACACTTATTTATTATAATTTTTACTGTATGCCATTAATAATTTGTTAGCCCTGTTTAAGTTTTAACTAATATTTTTAAATACCTAAGTTAATAAAAATAAGCAATTTGTGATTGAACGAGTTATATTTTGATTTATTAATGGGTTTATTTTAAAAACTCAAAAATAACCTAAAGGTTTAAGTTCCTAAGCATAATAATACCAATTAAAATCTATATCTTTTATCTCCAGCTAGCTTCCCAGGAAGCTAAAGTTTTTTAAAAAGTGATAATGAAATCAACTTAAAGATTCAGTCTTTTAAATTGCTCAAAAGTAACGACAAGTAATTTTATATAAAAAACTTAACCTTTGAGATTGGTGCTCGTTCACTGTAACTTATGTTGCTTTTCTAAATAGTAGGCTAAGGCCAGAGCTACTCTGCCTGTTCGATAGGACTACCCAAAATTAAGAAAGTTTTATATATCTGTAGTACTTTTCATATCAATTTTTAACTTTATTATAAAAATTCTTGTTGAAAGCTAAGTTAAAGATGGGGGGGGTGGGGGAGGTTATCTTTGTACGGCGGACCTCATTTTAAGTATGCCTTTACACTACGACTGCGTATCTTATTTACTGTAACATTACATAACACCGTCAACTTCTAACGGGGTTTTTAGGAGAACCATAGGGGGCAGTTTGTTACATACACCGAGTGCATATAGCCAAGCAAGCAAAGTTGTTCACTTTCACTCACTTTTAAAATTAGTTATTAAAGGTATAGCCCTCTCTATGTATATACATGCTTTTCTTACAGATTAAATTTATATAAAAAAGTAAGAACTTTTCTAATATCTCTGCTGGACTCTATTAAAAAAAACTTTTTATTAGTATGCTACCAAAGGCGGTTTATATATATTTTATGTTCTATATGGTAGCAACCTCTGAAAATATTATATTAAACAATTACGCAATTTTTTATTGAATAGTAATATTAGGTGACTTGTTCTATATCTTTATGTGTCAATATTTTTAAGTTAGGAATCAGAAATTCGCAATCTTTATTCTCGAAATATTGCCGAGAAATCGATTAATAAGCAATCTAGAAGTTGGCATTGGTCTTTGAAGAAAGATAATTTATCGGCATTGTTTGCTCCTAGTTTAACTCCCGAAGATATCTGTAAAAAACTTCTCTGCATATTTACCAGAGAAGGCGGTCTAAGTCTTTTTTGTAACTACCAAAGGATATTCTCAGTTGGTGTAAGTTTATTTTTATTTGTTGTTACTATTATATAAACCTGTAAGTGAATTTGCAGGATCCTCAAGTAGCCAAAAGTTTACTACTTAACCAACTTTTTCACCCAACTACTGTGCTATTGGAAGTGAGCAGATTGATGGACTTGCATGGGTGGCCGGAAATTTTTCAAAAGTTTTAAAAAATATATATTTTACTTTACTTATTATTAATACTTTGCAGGTTTTGCCTATATCCAAGCATTTTTAAATTTGAAAAGACAATTTTTTTAAGCTTTCTACAGATTTTAAATGTTAAATAACTAAGACATTTAGAACATTTATCTTTTTGAGCATTTAAAAAAATTTTAGTTTAAAATTCTGTTTGTTTACTCATGTCAGCTATACTTTTTTTAGTTAGAAAACATTGCTTATGACAAGTTAAACTTTCGGGCTTTTACTTGACCTTTTGTATACAAAAGACTGTATTTTTATAAAGGTAGTTAGAAAAACTGTAATTAATAGAATTTTCCTTTATGTTTGTATATATACTTTTGTCTACTCATATAACTAAAGGTTCAAGTTTTAGTTTAGTGGATTGCGAGTTATAACTGACGTTTAATAAGGTTGAAGTTTTGTAATTACTGTACTCCAAAAAAGCTCATTTGCTTTCGTCATTGCCTGCGTAGTCTTTCTTCGAACTTTATGTTTGATCACTCCAAATATATTAATAACGATATCGTCACTACGTTAGTTATCAGCAGTTGTTCCGTGTCTAGCCATCAATCTTGAAAGTTGGATTTGTTGGGATTATAATTAGCAAGAGTTCAGTGAAGACTAAATTATCGAGGCTCAATATATTTTGTCTCTATTCGCGTGATTGCGGGGCGGTCTGCTTCTTGCGCTTAAGTGGCGTCGCTAGGCTAGTAAAATTGAAAAAGTTAATATATTTTTTTGCAAGTTGTTTTTACTATATTTTGAAAAAAAAAGTGTTATTGCGCTGGATAACAACTTTATAATATGTCTTAGAGGCGACACTTTTTTGCACGCATAAGCAGACGGCTGTAAATAAGTTTTGTTTTATATTCTTTTGATCTCCACTTAAGAGTAACACCACCTTTTTTCCTGTTAAGTTACTGTTGGTCTATTCAGTTTTTAATGATGCTTTTTACTAATGTTTTAAATCTATGAAATTGTATAATTTTTTTGTTAATTACGAAAAGTACTATTTTTGAAGATTTATTCTACATAAATAGCATTAAAAGTAATGAAATTAGTCATTTCGAATCAATCTTGGGTCAGTTCTCTTATTCTATTTTTATACGCATTAAATAATATCTTGATATGAGCTTATATTTTATAATAAATACTAATAAAGCAAAGAAAAAAACTATTTATGGCCATTACCTAAAAGTTATAACTATAATTATAGTTGTTCTAAAGACCTATAAGTAATAGATTGTTTTAGGCGTCGTAAAAGTTATGTAGCTGATAACATAAATTTACAATCCTTTCATGTCTCTTTATACTTTTGGGTCCGCATTTATTTTTTAAGAAAAGTTACAAACACTCAAGAAAACCTATCAGCAAACTTTTAAATAAAAAATCACGAGCGAATATACTATTTTTTGTGTTTTACAAGGGACCTTAAAAAATAGTATATTGTTCCATTCTACGGAAACACCTATTGCTATGATGCTATTGGATCTACCGAAATGTAACACTGAAAAATCTAATCTGATTGGATTATATATCGCAACGTAGTGTAATAAAATATTAGTATATATAGCAACATAAACCGCTGTTCGATAGCTGCCATTACAAAACTTTGAACATATTAAGCGTTTAACATTTGAATCACTCGCGTCATAGCTTTAAGTACTTTTTATTAAGTAAAACACTATATGAAATTTTTTTTTTTGGTTTTATTATTTGTTAAAGCACAGGAAGTTGTGATTCTGCTTGAGCTTTGATATATAACTTTTTGCTAATAATTTAAAACATTTATTAACTTTTCGTAAATATTGGTTTTTTACGAAAATTTTTTAATCTTTAATTTTTTTTATAATTTTTTAAACGGTGAAGACGAAAGGGGGGGTAGCCTTTCTGCTCTTGGTTCCTGTGCTTACCGGTCAGTTCATTTTTTTTCTTTTATGCTTATTGCATTGGAATTTTTTCAAAATATCAATAAATATATTTTTGTTTTTTCTCAACCCAATTTTTATAAAAAATACCCGAAAAGTTTAAAACTTGATAACTATATATTTGCAAACAGTCAGGGTTATTAGCACTAGAGGGGATAATACTTGTAAACAAGAGATTGTCAGCATAGCGCACGAAATTTACATGAAGTATTGTTGGTAACTGCTGAAAGGAGGCCCATTATATATCTATTCACTTAGGTTTTTTAGAAGATCATATATAGTAAATCGATTGTCAAGACGGTTAAGAGCTTTAAACTATAATAGTGGAGAATTTTGAGCAAGCTCATAATGTTAGTATTGTTCTTTAAATAATATGAAAAGTTTATGAACATTGTTTATAAGGATTAGCGTTCTACACTAAAAGAGTGTAGAGGAAATTCATTGTAGCTCTTACTCATTGCTTAGTTCCATTACCATATACCATTAAATATATCTTTAAAAATTGTTATTTGTTTTAAGAAAAAACTTTTTCATCTTAGTAATATTACTTTTAGCCTCTGCGCCTTTCGCCTTGGCTTTGGTCCCGATTATCTTTCGCGTATCTTTTTTGATTCTAGTAATAAACCTGTAAGTATATGTTATAATAACAACTTAAGTTGCAAAATAGCCCTACACAACTTAAAATTAACTTATTTTAAAAGGGAATTAGACTTTACTATATTCTATAATTAATTCAGTAATTGATATTTAACAATAAATTTTTATACAGGAAAGTTGGCTTGAGGAGGTAAAAGTTCAATTTGAGCAAACAGGTTCTTAATAAATTCATTTTACTCAATCCATTCGTTAACTACTAAAAGCTCTTTTTTTAACTTAAACAACTGATATAAAAATGAAACATCTGGTTAATTTTATAGCAGTTAAAGTTATTGTTAAACTTTTAGTATGGTATTATTGAACATTTTATAATCAAATACTTTATAGTGGTTATACAAATATGGCTTGAGCAAAAATTGACCATCAACTCTTCATTGCCAGTTCTAAAAAAAACTTATCATTTATTAATAATTATGTTCAATTAGTTTCAATCTACATTTTCAGCTGTAAAATAGCATTTTACCTCCCCAATAATATAAGCAGAGTTATCCTTTAATTTTGTCATAATATTTATTACGAGCTCTGTTAGATTTATATTTTACTTTTATATATAAAAACTTATATGTCTGTAATAAGTAAACTTTTGTAATATTTTTTAAACCTTGCTCTAGACTCACAAAAGGCTTATGATCAAGAACACAATTCTTTTAAAAGTGTTATTTAAAACTTAAAACAGGTTTTCTTTGCTACGATGCTGCCCTTCTTGGCGGAGAGGCAAATTTGAGGGTTTTTTAATACCGAAATGTTTGTATCAGGTATATACAAATATTATTAGAAGGAACAACTCAAGAAGCCTTTCTTGTTTTTGGATATGATTGCATTCACTCAAACGCGCACATGTTTTATCGACGATGTTATGTCTCAATTCTTTTTGGATTTTCCTAATAAAGTAGAGCGTATACTATTTTATTAAAAAATTAAACTTATGGACATATTAGTTACTGTAAGCTTATAAGTGTAGAAGCCATAAAAGCTTTTACTTTGCGTACATTGCTAGTCTAAAGGGTTAAGGGCTTTTTGGTTTTAATTGTTTAGCAAATGGATTTTTTTTGTTAGTAATAACATGCATAAAGCATAACTATTAACAGCTCAGGAATGAACACGTATTTTTTTGTTTCCACAAATAAATTGAAGCACTCGTTTTCTTTCGCCAATGCTTGACAGTAACGACTGTATTAATAATTCAAGAGTTTTATAACTTAGCTAGATTTTTATTAAGCACCTGGAAGTATAACAGTAGTAGTGTTTTTTCCCTCTATATTTTATATGATTACGTGCTCTTCATCTCGTATCGTTCTGTATTGTTTTAATGGCTTCTGCAAAGTTAGAAGCGGGCTTCTTAAAAAGTGTAAAAGTTCTGTATAAAAGCATATTGTATTAGTTTTTTTTTAAAAAACCTTTGTAGTCGCATACGAGGTTATGGTTAACAATATTAACGTAGCAAATAAATAGAAGTACTATTTAACTTTTATTATTAAAAAATTTTATGCTATTATCTCCTTATATGTTTCTATAATTATTTTGTAAAAATACTCAAGAGCAACACTATTATCCTCGGAGCGGGCTATGATACACGCTTTTACCGTCTTCCTATTCCCTTGCTGGCAAATTTATACGAACTTGATTTGAAAAGTTTGCTTTTTGTTATTGTGATCGCTTAATTTTTTTTACTAATATTTTAACGGCATTACTGCATTATTATAATCGATATATTATTTTTTGTTAATTTTGTCTTAAGCACATAACAAATTTTCTATAATGTTGCCACAATTAGTTTACGTATGATACTGACCTAACGCATTGTTATTAATAGACCTATGTTAGATTGTATTAGTTTATTAACCTTTTCGTTTTATAAATGGTCGTTTAATTTATTATTTACTTGGACTCTTTTTCTATGTTTTCTATTTGCCTTTTTCAAGCTGTTATTACCCTCAAGGAGGAATAAAAAATTATTTTTACTCTCTCCAGTTTTATTTTTATTATTTACAAAAGTTGACCTTTAACTCTACTTTATGACATTTTGCTGTATAGTGTATTTCTGGCAGAGTTGAATCCTTACATAATAATCTTGAACTCCTCTATAATTAGCCACACAACTAGCGAAGAAGCGGGTCTTAACCAAAAGAGTCAAAGATTCCTGGCTTTACAACAAGCGCAAAGAAGGAGACCCATTTGCTTACGACTTTAGAGATGTTAACTGCGCTGATAATCTTGTGCAGCTCATCCATGCTTCACTCGATCGATCCAATAAACTACCAAATTCCCATACTATGAGGTCTTGGTCGACTCTGAAGTTTTTCAAAGGGTTGTGTACCTTGAATGTGACTTGACACGTGAAAATTTTTTACTTAAGCTAAAAGATTATTCATCTTTTAGCATAAAACTTCCAACTCTCATCGTTTTAGAAGGTTTACTAATATTGTTACTGTGTAATTATAAGTACCACTATTATAGTAGGTGTCTCTTACTATCTCCTTCCAGAATGCTTCGAAAACATTTTAAAAATTATTAAGCAATATTTTTATAGTATGCCCTGCGCTTTAGTGTTCGACTACGCCACAAAAAGGCATGATTATAGGGATAATGGTGACTATGTGTGTTTATTATAAATACATCTTTATACTTATTGTTAGACATTTGGTGTTTCAAGAAAAGTTTCAAAGTAGGCGAAGTAAAGAACCCTGGCTTTTTGGTTTGGAAAGTAAAGATATGCGCAAGTATTTTTTTATTCTCTATAGCAAAACTGTATTTACTAATTTTATTGTAATATTATAGTTTATTACGGTTTTACAAACTGTATGTTTACGATCACATATCCTGTTCAGATGGATTGGAATATTATTTACCCAAAAGGGGTTTTATTTATTCGGATTATAATTCCTATTACTATTATTATTCGTGTTTATTTTTAGATCAAGGCAGTGTTTCTCTGGGTGGCGCTGAAAAAACTTTTATTCTGGCGGTCAATAAAAAGTTTTTAAAGTTCACAAGAAAGAATAAAAGAAAAAATAAATAAAGTAAACAAAAGAATTATAATAATAAAACAAAGTTTTTCCAATTGGGTTAACTACATAATTTAATAGTAAAGTTAATAATTCTCATTAAGCTCGACAATCCACAAGAAACACCTAAATTTCGTATATTTTTTTAATTAAAACAAAAAGAAAAGGGGAGAGGACCGCCCCGTCTGCCGAAGTTACTGCGAGTTGCACGTCATCCCTCCTCCATTCACACTCCAACAATTCCGAAGGAGCCCGAAAAGACTTAGCAATACTCCCGCTCTGTATAAAATCAAATAATTCTAAATAGAATTGCTAATTAGCGTGTGGTAGAGTTAACTTTGACGTCCCATATATGCAGGCACTTGTCCAAGGAGACTGAGGCTAAGTAGTCACCTTTTCTCGAAAATGCAACTAAATAACAAAATAGGCTATAAGTAAATTACGCGACGCGGTACTGCGAAACTTATAGGCCTGAAAACACCTTTCAGTTTTTTTCTACTCTCATTGCTATGCCTTGCTGAGTGGCGGATTCTCTATTTATTAATAAAAGAAACACCTGATTGCACGGGGCCCTTGTGAGCGGTTAACACGTGTAAACAACGGCTGATTTCAACGTCCCATACACGCGCAGTGGTGTCCATCGATGCGGAGGCTACTAATGAAACATTTTGCATGCTATTCCAGTCAATTGTATCTACGCTGAGTGAGTGTCCCTCTAAAGAAACAACGCAATTTTGTTGGCGCAGATTCCAAACTTTAACGGACTGGTCGTCCGAGCATGAGCACAGAAGGGTGGCAGTGGGGTCCCATCGGATGCAATTAACACTGCTCTATTGATAATTAAATAAAAATGACCTAATGACCTAAGCAACACAAATAAAGCTAACTTGCTCCTTAATTTCCTAATATCTATTACATATTGGAAAATTAATGCAATAGAAAGGCGAAAGTTTAAACTTCTTAAGTGGGTGGCTATAATGATTCATTCTTGAGTATAAGCTCAAAAGGGGCTAAACATATAAATTCAAGAGATCGTCTCTCTCACTACTAATACACTCAATGATCACTTAACTATAATGTAAAGTTATACAACCCTAAACAACTGAATTTGTTTCATCAACGAAAGTATTATAGCCAAACATATATAAGTTACAGGTACAATAAGCTACTTTGTGGCCAGTAAAAGTATGGAAGGGGATAATATCGCCCAGTTTGCAAACGTGAATAAGCCCATCAGAACCGCAACTAGCAAATGACGTATTATTTCTCCAGTCCACATCAAGGGACTGACCACTATGAAGGGCTTCATAAGAGTGCCTTAGGTGACCAGAGGGAACAGCCCAGACGTGCACGGCACCAGCAAAGGAGGCTGTTAACAAGGCATCTGTTTTCTTATTAAACTTTGCAGCGCAGATGGGGGGTCCCGTACACCCTGTCACTTCCACATGAAGAACGCCAGCACGACTCCACAGCTTCAGAGAGCCGTCATATGAAGCTGAAGCGAGCAGGTTGCCGTCTGCGCTCCAATCCAATGCAGTGACTATTGAATTTAGCGTTAAAAAAGCGACAAAAGAATAGTTATTTAATGCAACAAAAGTGAGAATAAGTAATTTTTTTGCCATTATAAAATGTAAAAGTCAAACCTACGGTGCATTAGGTTGCTTAACTTAAAAACAGATGAGATGCAAATTTGTTTATATACCAAAAAAATAAAAACCAAAAATTATGAACGAAACTATATTTTTTTGAAGAGTTCATGGTGTGTTCTAAGAGCTGGCGCCCGCCTGTAGCGATATTCCACAAGCTCACTATCGAATCAGATCCTCCCGTTGCCAAAATGTTTTCACATGGGTTCCACGAGCATAATGATGTCATGCCCACGTGGCCTTGAAGTGATGTCACGTGCTTGTTTGCTATTATAGTTTCTATTACAAAACATTCACCTAAACTTTCTTTATAGTTATTGGCCAATCAAAACCAAGATACCGGTGGTTTTAGAAATACAAGATTCCACTTGATCCATTTCATCCGCTATTTGTTCTATTTTTTGTGAATTATTTACTGGAGTTCCATAACGCCTTCCGAGTATTTCTTTATCATAAGTAGAAACATCAGATTCTTTTCCATCCCCATGAGCTATTTTTAGATCTTCTTTATTTCTTTCGTAAATCACGTCCTTGACTCGTAAGCCCTCAGGAGGAGCATAACTCGCAAGAGCAAATTCACTTTCGCCATCTTCCCTTCCAAGAATTATGTGCTCTTTCTTGTTAAAATAGTGGCTCACTAGGAAATTCTTACAAAACGTTTAATAACAATTGGAACATGTGCAGTGGCATAGTTGCACACGTGCTTTTTAACAATGGAAAATGGCCCAGAGCACTTGATCTCACGCCCTTCCTATATATTATTACGTATAAACGAAGTAGATATGCGTGTGCTAAGTATAAATATTGAATTATAGTTAAATTATAATAAAAATAAGTACAATAAAAGAAAGGAAAAAATTTAAAATAATTTTAATGTTTAGCATAAAGTGCACTTAAAATAATCTGAAAATTAAGTTTACAAAACTGAAATAATAACAACAATAAACTAAATAACCCCTAGCAACTACAGAATAACCTTTATAGTATATAAGAGAGATCAGGAATTTAAAATAAATGCTGTTTAAAAGATTAACAATAATAAAATTAAGTTTCTAAAAAGATAGTACTTTAAAAAAAATCAAGTTAATTATCACTAAAAGTATTAGGATTTTATAAACTTTCAACAAATTCCAAATACAAAAAAAAAAAAAAGAAATAAATATAAAAGATGTTCAAACAAATTAATAATAACCTACAACTCTTAAGTTTAATTTTAATTCTTTTAAAAAATTTAACCGCTACAAAAGAAAAGTTACCTAATAACTTTGTTAGGACTATAGAATACGAGAATATAAGTAGTGATTTAAAATTAACATTTAAATATATAAAAAATAAAGTTAACAATAAAGTACTGAACCTCGTTTATATGAGTTTCGGCTTCAAGATACTGCAAACCTTTCTGAAGAAGAGTTATTAAAGCCCCTTTTTATTTTACAAGTTAATATTAGAAAATCTAATAATGAAATTATTTATACCTGGTGAGACTTCGTCAGTGCTAAAATCAAAGTTAGTAGTTAAACTCTCACTTCCAAAGACAAAAGCCGAATGTACAAAACCTAAAACCATAAAATAAAGTGATTAAAATTAAAAGCTGGAGTTGAAAATAAAAGCGATTTAACAGGAATCTAAGTTAATTAATAAAATTAAAAATAATGTAATCCTTATAAAAAAAATATAAAAACCGCGTAAGACATAAAGTTAACAAAAAATGTACAATTAAGAAAACCTGCTTCTTGCAAGTATCTATATATTAAAAAATTAATTTCCTTGGAAGTAATGCTTAAATTCATAGCCTCTATAATACTTTTGAAAGCACTTACCCTATTTAATTCTAGTAAATATATCCATTCTTTTGATAACAACGAGGAAGCTGATAAAAAAAAAGTTTTTATAAACAAAGGTAAAAAGAAGGCACGCAACATAAGTGAAAAGCTGAAACATGGTTGGTGGGTGTTTGCCAGGGCAGGCATTAGCGGATGCGGAAGGGCTTGTAGGTGGTAATATACTGGCTGGTATATAGAAAACGTATGTTTGTACTTAAGATTTTTAAAAATAAAAACATATAAAATATAAACGGATTCTAAAAAACTTGAAATAGTAGAGAGAAGTAAATTTATAAACAAACTGAGAATATTAAATCTCACTTTCTTTTTACTTGATATCTAACAGTTTTACATCTACGCTACATAAAAGAAGGAGGGGTCTTAAAAAGAAGCGAATGAAGCGCACAGGGCTGCTATGGTGTACCAATGAAGATATTATTCATATAAAAACATGGGGCTTGAATTACCATAATATAAAACATTTTGAAATAATTAAATACAAGCTGTAATTTCAAAAAAGTAACTATATTTGATTTGTTTAAAGAAGGTATAGTTTATGTTAAATACTTAAAAAGTTTGTTTATAAATAGCCCTCCGTTCATGTAGAATCTTGTCCCTAATGACCAAGGGAACTTTTCTTAAGTGTCTACGAAATTTTCTACTGTTTTTTAGACAAAGAATAGTATATTACAGCAAGAAATTTTTAATTTTAATTATATAAGCTGGTTTAAATAAAGGATAATGATAAAAAAAGAGAGGGTGTAATAATGTAATTTAGATACCCAACTTTACTTAATTTTTTTTAAACCTTACATAAACCTTCTATATACTGGTAAAAGAATGTTTTAGTAAATAAGTACTTGATTATAAATAAAACTTGCTTCCTCTTAACAAGTGAACTGGCAATAAACAATCTGAACAAACTACATGTAAATTGATTATTAAAAGTTTTAATTTTGCCAAAACTCTAAAAGTTAAATAAATATTTAAACAAAAGACTAAAATTTGGAATATAAATAATACAACGAGAATAGGGTTAAATAATTTTCAATAAAACTAATAAGTTGGAGTCAAATGTTGTGTGTAACAACCCCAACTTAATGGCAAGCACATAAAGAAACTAAGTAATTAATAAAAACACCTCTCTAGTTTTTACATTTGTTTGTTTGCAATTACCTTAAATATAGACTCTTAGTAAGGTTCAATAATTAGGTAAAAAATTTCTTGTCTCCCTAAAGTTGGACTTTATGGCGCTTTTTTTAGAGCATTAAGAAAAACATACAGCTTTTATTTTAGGGTAAAGGGGCGTAATCACTGATTTTAGTTTTTAAAGATGCAAGAAAACTGAGTTAACACCTTTATTTAATGTAATTTTATTTATAAAGGGATATAAAAAAATTCTTTCAATGGGCTTGTATAAACTTCTTAAGGCTACGGAAAGATGGTAGCGGCGTTACTTTGTAAGGTATGCCTACACGCACTTTCCCGTATGTCCCCTATTTTCATGACATTGGCCACATAAAATTATTTTAGTAAACTAAAAATTATTTAATCCCTATAACTAACCCTCGTAGCAATTTAAAATTAAATAAGAGTCGTTATCGTTTCTAGCTGGGTAACCAAAAAAAAAGTTAAATAGTTAATAAAAAATATGAAAATGTGTCTAAAAATAACTTAGTTAAATAAAGAGCTGTAAATCTTTTGAAGAAGAATTTCTTTATATACTGTTATAAATTATTTAGGTTTTAAAAGTTTTTTGAGATACTTCTTAATATAACAATATTTATTTCGCACCACGGAAAGTGGAAACCTTATCCGGCTGCTTATAGCCTATTTGACCATTCGCAGTATAGTTAACTTCTCCAAGTTAGCAACACCATTTTAATTCCAGTAAAACTCCAAGTAGGCCCTAAGTTCGCCCCGGGGAGGCACCTAAGCAGCGAAGCTTTCGGCTGGAGTCGCATCAGCTAAAAAAGATTCCGCTCTGCCCCCGCTCTGAAGGGCTACATAACCAATTAGGCTTCGCAGGGAGGGTACATAGCGCGGCCATAAGTCTGCCCACCTCTCACGAACTTTCTCGAGGAGTCGCCTCCTCATTTACGCCTACAGAGCGCCTTTGTCACAGAACCAAGACAGCAAATTCCATATAAAATTTTTTCTAAACTACAAATATTACTCACCTTGAAGTTTAGATAAAAAAAATAAATTTATACTACAACGCGTTATTCCCTGTCCTCTTTAAAATTTTACATTAACAGTCGACTTATTAATAACATCATAAAAGCCATTTAATAGCAAATTATTTTAATACTCTTTTTAAAACAGTATATAGATACGTTCCATCCGCTTTAATAACTTGTTCGGCGAATCTTTGTGACACGCTCAGGCCAGTAGACGTTTTAGTTTAAAAAAATAAGAGGTTGCGTTGACATGTCAAGTTTTATCAGTGGTTTCTGCTTAGTCAGGGGGTAACGTATAAACTCTTCTTTTGCGTTTAATTAATTATTAAAGTACCTATTAAGCGTCTAGCGCTTACTGAATGTTTAAATAGCAGCCATAAGATGAGCTTTTGTCGATTGAAAAGTTAACTTCATTAAACTTTTTCTTGCTTATTTTGTTTAACAGAGGGAATTTTTTTAAAAAACTTTCCAATAAGGTTTTATAACGATAAGAAGTATTAGAGAAGAAAAAAAATTAAATTTAGATTTTCATTCCTGAAGTAAATTATAAGAACATAGTGAATCTGTCAAAGCTGAGTTGAGTTACAAAGTTTGGTCCACCAAGTTGCTAGGCTACCAAGGAGCGGATTAGTAATTACCATTATCGCCAATCTTCCTGTATCCACGTTGTTCTTCTTTGGTGAGAAAGATAAAGTAGAATGTAAGAAGTAGTTTCATGGGTATTCTTATAAGTTAACAAGTATGAATTGCCAGTAACTTTTTTAAGTCTTAAGGATAAATTTTATGTGTCTTGTAGTTAAAAAAGTATCGGTAGACGGGAAGTTTGAAAAAATTTAAATTGCTGAAAAAGTTTTGATATTAATAGCAAATTTTGAAGGAACGCTTCTAGTTATTCGCTATTACGTACCCTACTAACGGGTAAGTTGTTTAGGACGCTCAGCTCCCAGAAATCATGAATTTTTCTGCCTCTGAGAATCGAACCTGTGCTCCTAGAAAGCAATGGCCTCTTATTGAATAGAATTAACGCCCAGACAAAGCGCTAAAAGATAATGCTCATCGCATATGAGTGCAGGGAAATAAGGTAATTTCGCTATTCTTCCGACTTTAACCCTTAAAAATGTTGGATTTAGGGCATGTTCTACAGCTGAGCATCCACATACAATATTTGCAAAAAATTTTATTTTCTTATATTTAAAAGTATGATAAAATCCTTGTGCGCCGTTACTGCGTTTCTCAGCAATCGTTTTAACTGATATCTTCAGAAACCGTTCGGTCATTTCGTTGCACTTGTTTATAAATAAAGCTTTATCCTTGTTAAATAAAACAGTTTTTCCTATATAACGGATCTTTCTCACACTTACAAGCTTACTTGAAGATTTAAATAGGGCTAATATCTTTTCATTTTGAAATTATTCTTTAGTTGGAAAAATTGATATCAGCTGCTAGGTTCTTTACCTTTCATACCTTGCCTTAAATATAGGCAACTAGCTTCAAAGGCAAGTATAGTGTTTTTTGCCAAAGTTCCAGTGTTATGTAGACCCTTAATAAAATAAGATGGTTGAAAAATCTTCTTTTTTTATAAGGCGCTCAAAATTGTATCTAAAAGTGTGAACGGAAGAGCTGAGTTTTTATTCTTACATCTTCAATGTCCGTTGACCCATAAACACAACATTTCTTGTTTTTTTGTTAAAATTAATTCTTTATCGTTGTCACTCTTTTCGCATGGGTAGCATGTTCTATTGCCTTTATAAGTATGACCCATACTTCTCTTATAAAATTATGGGTAAGTGTTCCTCTCAAAGTTGTTAGCTTTTTCTTACATCTCTAGAATTGTTCGGTTTCGCTGCGATGGTTTTTAGATAAAAAAGCTTAATTACTCAATTTTAGTCAGTTAAACCAAAGAGTAATTTTTCAATGATCGCTGCCTAATAAATTTGTGAGAAATCAGTCAAGTTTCATTGAATCCAGTGAAAAGTTCTTAAGAAGTTGCCCTTTCAACTAAGGTTATTAAACTTGTCTTGAAATTTAAACATACCTTCTTTTTTTTTTTAATGTCTAAAAGTCTCTCACTTAAGCAAGTTTCATTTCGGCTAAATCGGCTTCAGTCACCTCCAATAACAATATGCTTCGTTAAGTAACACCTTTCCGTTTCAGTTTCAAGTTTTTCTCTTGTTATCCTCAGCATGGCTTTTATCAAATGCTGCAATTTATAGCGCTCCGAGGGAGAGATCTTATCGGTAATTGTGTGTAAAGGTCACACTTGTGTTTGTTAAGTTAATGATTATGCTACATCCGAGTTGGCGTACTTGGGTATTTCTGAAGTTTTCGGTTGACTGTGAAACCGTCTTTCTTGATCGGTGAGCAACAAAACTTTTGGTCTGTTTTATTATATATATATAAAAACTTTAACACTTTTTAATTCAAAATAGTAAGCGTTTTCTTACAAACTCACCACTACCCTCCTGCCCTATAGACACTTAAGTAGCCAAGGGAAGGCAACAGCCAGGGACAGGCAGGCAGAAAAGTCGACACCCCCTTTTAAAGAGTTGCTATAAATAAATGTATAAATATATACATATATAGGTTTTCGATATTTAGATTAGATAGAATGTATTAGATCGAACTAACTGTATCCGATTAGATAAATTGTAACTACAAATATTAAAAGTTATGCCCATCTAAAGTAAGGCTGTCTGCAATTGGTATTGTAAAAGAGGTAAGATATTTGTTTTGTGTGGCCAAATTAATATTAAACGGCAAACTACATGTAAAAATACAAGTAAAAAGCCAATAGAAAGGTAAATAATCCTTGTTGTCTTAATTAAAAGACTTCTAAAGAGCGTTAGCCATTATGTACAAAAAATTTACTAATTACGGAAATTGTGATGTTTTAGGAAGCCAGAGCACTGTCACCCCATTTGTAGGCTCACGGTTCCAACTTTTACTTGTTTTTGAGCTGCGCGTTTAGTCTCGATTCTGAAACTTTTATTTTTTTAATCGTGCAAACCTTTTTAGCGTTAATTTCTGATAACTTAAAGAATGCATTTATTCTAATAATAAAAACTTCCAAACCATTAATGAGATGAATCTGTCTTTTGGCTGCACAGGCGACAAAAAAATTAAGGGGATATGCTTGTTTATTTGTCAACCCCTCAGTCGAGGCGTAAATTCTGTGAAACCTGAAGCTCATAAAAGTGACTGCCATTTTTTTTAGAATTATCCCTTTGAGGCGGGTAGTCATTACCTTTTTAAACTCTCCTCCTGTATCGGAGGTACATTTAGCGGGACACGACGTAGAACAGGTAAAAAGTTATTAACCAAAAAGGCTGTAAGACCCGGTGCCCCTACTTAATTTAGCACTTTGTTCTGTGAAAGGTTTAATAATGGATGGTAAGATATTCAATTATTTAATAAAATACTACGACTTTTAGTGATTAAACTGTTTTCAGTCAAAAAAAAAATCGTAGAATAATCACAATTTTTTATACACTGGAGTGCTTTGCGAACCAGGAAAGTCTCACCTTCGTTCACTGTGGGATGTGGATGATATCGAAGAGAAGAACCCGATGCCAAAAAAGAAGAACAACGGTTCTTTTTCTGTAAAAACGACCCCAAGACATATATTTTTGCATGAAATGGCAAAAGATTTGTATTTTTAATTCGTAGTGTGATTTAGCGTTCCGCATGTTTCAATGTGGATTATTTCCCATTAAACTTATAATTCAATGTCTGTTAAAATTATCTTTAAGCTCTTAAAATTTTTTGATTTTTTGATTCTGTAATTCATTACATTAGTTATATTAGTTTAATAATTTAAATATATATATACCGGTCATTATAATTACAAACAAATTTGGTATGCTTTTTATAATAAAGGTTTAGTTTTTTTAAAGTTTTTCATTGCCCTTCATACAATAGTAATTATAAGATCTTTTTTCAGATGCTTAGTGGGCATACTAGGCGCGGCCTTTGACTTGTGCCTTGGACCGTTAGTCAAAGGTCTCTAAAGCCCAGCGGCCCGACTGGAGGTTTAAAACTTATAAAATAAATTGTACATCCCTCTCAGTTATATATTGCACAACAGAGAAGAGAAATAAATTTTTTTTTATATAATTTGGTAAGTATACCACAACATATTAGTAATAGAGACTTAACGTAGACGCAGAGTAGGTGTTAAATGCAGAGCCTATGTAGCATTATAACAGGTTAATCGCGCTCAACCTGGGAGGAGTAGTTTGGCAACATTTTTTTTATAAACAGTAAGGACGAAAACAACTCTCTATACCGTTCTAATAATTTACGTAATTCATTTGTCTTGTTAAAAATAAATATTTAACCAAGAAAACAAGTTTACAGTAAGAAGACGAGGTGCACAGGCTACTTCTAAGAGAGAATGCGCAAGAAAAAAATCGCTTTACAAATTTACCAGCAATAAACTTATTTGCAATGAGAAAGTTCTAATTATTAATTCATTAACTTAAGAATATTAATAGAGAAATAAGCCTAATAGCTAGCAACAGCTGAAGCACAAAAATGTTAAGTAAGTTTGCCCATTATCTTTATTAGAAATTTTCGAAAAAACCTATTTTTTTTTTTATTTTACTTTGCGCCGCGGACCAAGTTACTACCATATGTAGCTAGCTTGATTGTATTGAAATGCGTACGTTTTAATTTATTTATTGACACCTCGTGTCTTTCTCCTAATTTATTAATAAATAACGTTCAATATTTCATCAAACACTAATTTTACGTGGGTAAGTAACCGTCAAATATACATAGTAATAAAATCTTAAAAACATAATATAAATCCTCTTAAGATTTTAAATTAGTATACCTCTGATTTTAAGATTGTCAAAAAAAGGGTCTGCCAAACCAAACACAAAATTTTAAAAAAAAATAAGTGTATTGCCGCACTCTTCAAACAATATATCGACTTTTTAAACTTAGTTTATTATATTGGTCGAAATTGACCTTTTGTACTATTTTCGAAATAAAAAACACTAGAACTCAAACCAAAGAAAGTAACCGAAAATTTCACACAATATATCTGCAAGGTATTTTTAAAAATACAATTTTTGCAAAAGCCATAATATGTAAAAACTTTATTAATAAGAAAAATCACCCGATTTCTCATAAAATTGGAGAGGGTGCAGTAAGAAAGCTTTTTTCTCAAGTTTATATACCCTAACCCTAACCTTTCATAGCCTTTTTTAATAAAGCCAAACGATTTCTTCTTGCGGAAACCCTTTTTAAAACTTTATTGCCTTGTTTATTTTTTTTCCTGAGCTTGCGCAATTCTTTTTTCAAAGGCAATACTGTTTCTAATTCATCTACAAAACGTTTGCGATTAAAATATAGAGCGGGCAGTAAAAGCTAGAAATAAAAAAATAACTTATTTGCCACACAGTAGAGACGGCGTCCAAGCAGGTCAAGCGGCTTTTACTATCAAATTCTGCAACGCAAGATTCAATTGTAGATCCGCTTTTGATGTGCTTTCCAACGTTCCACAACTAAATAATCAAAATTAAATAGAGATTTCTATAAGTGTGTAAAGGAGAGTAATATATATAAGACTAGCCTTTATAAAACCGTCCGACGAGGCAGAAATCACAAAGAAATGCTCTTCTAATAGTGGACTCGTTATAACTTTCAGCGCTTTAACGCTATAAAAATTGGTTATAGTCTTATATTTAAATATAAAAAGTAAGTAAAACCGACTGGTGTGTCCCCTGATAATCGCATGTTTTTGCCCACTTTCAATATGAATTACTTCAATGTCTTTTCCCTGCGTCCCTACGCATATGAATGTGTCCTAAAATATTTTAATTATAACAAGAAAATAGTGTTAATAATAAATACGGACGGAAAGAAAATCGAAAGTATTGATGCTTTGATCGAAATGGACGCTATGCAAGAGTTTAGAATTCTAAAAAAAGTCGCTTAATATTATAAGGAGGCGGTGAGAAAACTCTCAACACACTAACAAAAGCTGTAAGAGTAGTTTGAAAAATCTTTAAGTAGATTAAAATAGTTAATCACAAAAAAACCTCCAAAGCATAAATATTGAGAATATTTTTCATAGCAAGTGCGTACAAATCTCCTTTAAAAATTTTACGTTAAGTAGTAAAAATATGACTAACGAGAAAGCAGATCACAACCACTTTGATTCCAGCGGACATGAACAATCTCAAAAGGCATTCTGGTGATGTAAGCGCAGCGGCCTATAATACACAATACTACCCTTACACATATTGAAGGCAACAAACACGCCGCTTGCCCGTCAATAAATTCCAGGTTCGCATGGTTTTATCATCACTAACAGATAAGGCAAGCCTTCCGCTCGGATGGACAGCAAGCTGGTTAACTTTTCCCTTATGACCTCTAAATATAAAATTAAAACTAATTCCTACAAAAAAATAATAATAAAAAAACTTTAAATCATGAAGGCACTCCCAATCATTAGTTCTCCACAAAGATATTATCCCATCATGAGAACCGCTGAGCAGATGAGAATTTCTATAAAAAAATAGGGTAGAAATGCTCCCTCCATGCCGAAAAAGTTCTCCAAGTTCTTTTTTTTCTTTCAAGTTGTACAGTCTAGTAAAATTGTTAAAAGAAATAAAGCTCAACATATAAATAAAAGTTACTGAAGTATTATATAAAATAAAAATATAAAATGTAATCCAATGGCTAAATACTTATTAATGGGAGTTATTAATATTAGCAAAAATTTATTTTAAATGGGGCTACCAGAACGTTATAGAAAACTAATACCTCTAAAACAACTAAAAGTTACCAATAACAACCTTATGTTCTCGTCAGTGCCACCTGAAGCCAAGAAAGAGGAATCCTGACTAATAGAAACAGCCTTTATACACGAAAGATGTGCAGGGTACGCAAAAGAAAGCTCAAAAGACAAATCCTAAAAAAAGACCATTTACAAAAATAGACATGTAAATTAAAAAACTAACCAAACACTTAGAATTCCCAAGGTCAATGACACAACAATCTAAACCAAAAATCAAACGTTCGTAAGACCCAGCAACTATTTTAGCTATGCAAGTTTTCATTAACCTTAATAGAGGATATCATGAACAGTAAAAACACGACCTTTAAGGTTTAAAACATGAAGGTATAATCAACACGGGCATGCACCTCAGAAAACTGACCAATCCACGGCTTTAATCTAAATTGTAACTACTTTATTGAATTCAGAGTGTTTTCTTTATTTTAAAAAGTGGAGTTAACTTGGTTAGAGAATGACATATTTAGTAAATTATGTATAGAGATTTAGAGTTTAGCCTGTAAAAATATTTAAAACTTTTTTAGTATTAAATAACACGTGTTTACTATTTACAGGGGAAATGTTATACATTATTTATAAACATTACTGTGAGTTCAATTTCTCTACTCTTTGATTGTGATATAAATATAGGCGATGCAGAAAAGGTTACTAGAGGCTGCTTTTTAAGAGTTTTTAGAGTAATTTTAGTAAAGCAAACTTTAAAAATCCTGATTATTAACACCAAAATGGATAATGCACTAGGCTTCACCTACTTCAGAAAATTGGCTTTACACTTAAAAACAACATTTAACTAAATAGAAGTTTTGGGTTACCGAAATTTTTTTCGTATTACCAACAATAGTAGTTAACTTAAAAAGAAGACTTAAGGACTAAGAGTAAATTCTACACTTTTATTAGTGATTGCGAGCAGTTTACCTTAATTTTTTAAGACTTAAGCAAACTGGTTATTATGTGAGTAAGATAACACTATTCACTAAAAAAAAACTTGCAAGGGAGTTGAAGTATGGTACACAAACTGTTACAGTTTCCTTTTTCTTTATGTAATACTTATTGAAACAATATTTGTAACTGTCTTGTATCGTTATCTCAACGCTTAGTGCTACATTTTCTTTTGTAATTTTTTTTGTTGTATTATGTAGTTAGGACATTATATATTATGTTGTGTTGATATGAGTACCTGTATAGGCGGCAGTGTCTGGCATGGAACGCAGAATACAAGGGTAATTATAGCGAAGGAGCGTTGCTGAACACTAGCTCTCAGGCGGCACTCTAAGTACAGAGCAGTGCCAATCCTCACACGACCCAATTATGCTGTAGGGGACTGACGGAGTGCCTAATACTATTAGAATTATAGAAAAATAGAACAAAAGGATATAAAAAAAATATGTAAATGAATAGTATGCAGAAAATTGATATGATAATAAATAAGCAGACAAAGCCTGTCTACTTCTATTGTAAAAGCCTTGTGGTAATTATACTAACAAATGGATTCAAAAGAACTAATCAAAACCGGTATCAAGACCAATGATTTGTTAATTGAATTAGTTTTTAATATAATTTTGTAGTTATTTTCTTGTTAAATATCCATGATTTACATTAGAGGCCCTCGTGTCATTCATATTAAAGGCTACGTTAACGTCGGGGTAGACGACACCTTTGAAATTTGTAAAATTGAAGCCTCCCCCCTCAACGATTTATGAGTTGTTATGTCTGTGAATGGATTCTTGGAAATCCGAGTTGGATTTCTATAATCGCTCCGAATGTTTTTACAAACTCTTCCAACTAGCATAGTAGAACAGCCTTGACAGTTTTACCTTCTGCTTATATTGCGTTAATAGGTCAATATTTTCCGTTGTTTCTGCTATATTCAAGAACAAAGAAAATTTGTCGGGTTTCCTTAAAGAATTTTATTAAACTCTTTTTTTACAGTCAAAACAATTGCTTATAGTCGGTAACCATATAGTCAATAGTTGTATTTCTTAGTTCAGTGTTAAGTATATTAAATAGTTCATGTGCTTTTAATGATATTTTTTGAATTTCCAGGGTTTTAGGTCATGTTTTTGTAAACACTGACACTGCAAAAAACTAAATTGACAGTTGAACTGCGAAAATGTCATTAACGCTTAAAAAACTCTATACATACGTATTTCAGGCTTTTACCTATTCCAAAAATCCCTAGAGCTATTAAATTTCAGTAAATCCTAAGGTAGATAGCTATTATCGTTAAAGCAAAAATTCTACAGAAATTTAACTTTTTAAAATTATAATAATTTTTATCTGCATTTTCCGCATGATTAGGTTTACATTAGCACACTACTAGCAGTACTGCCAACGCCTTTTACTGGTTAGTGAGAAATGCAGGCATGATTACAAAATTATTGTCTCGAAGTTCAAACTTTTGTCCTAGTAAAGTTGAAGAAGGTTACCATTATATTAAGACAATGCTTTTAAGTAGAAAAAAAATTTAAACCTTTAATCGGCAACCTTGTACACCTTGTGTTCAACCAAGACGGTTATAAGGTTATAAAGATAATAAGCGCAAAAAGTGTAACTAAAATTACATAAAGCTAAAAATATAAAGGTAAAAGGAAACTTCCTGGTAGCCACGAAAGTAGAGCTAGATTGTAAAGTAAGAAATTAATACGAGAATACTAAGATCGTAGAAATAGAGTTAAGAAGAAGTTCGCTGACAAGGAAAGGAGCTAAAATCGCAGAATCACAATTGGGAGCAACCGAAATAAGAATACATAAAGATAGCTCCTTATTATAAAGAATATAGAAAAATTTTTTCTTCCGAGAGAAAAACTTCTTACTTATTTTCCTGCAATTAAAAGAATAATTTTAAATGCGGATTCAATACAACCAAATAATATACTATATTGGCATCGACACTTGAAGGCGTCAAGGGTAATTAAACCCTCGAAATATAGTATAAAGATGTTACAAAGGTAGTAATGCGTAAGAAGCGCCGAAATGAAAGGTATTATGCCGCTGCCAAAACAACTTAACTAGTAGAATAAACAAATAAATTTAGAAAAAGACTATTTCTATACTTTACTTACTTGCACCTAGTACTCGAACATATATAACAACTAATAATCAGCATTAATTTAAAAAAGTATGGTGTAACATGTCAACAGAATATATAAACATTGGCGATAAATCTGCATTAATTTATATTCCGTTGTCTTGATTGCATTACAATACCTCTGAATGATTTTCATTTTTTTTAGTTATGTATACAATTTGTTTATTAAGAACTTTTTTTTAATTTGTTTGCTTTTATTGAAACCTTTTGTCGTGTATATTAAACTTTTATAATTTTAGGTCAACGTGTAATTTCTATACTCATTGAAAAGTAAAGGAGAAAAATTTTTAACTTGAAAAAGAAAACGGCAATTATACTTTCATAGTATTGATAGAATTTAATTTTGTCAATCAATAAGATAAGTGATTAGCGATATCTAAAAAATTCCAAAATTAAAAAATAGGCGCATCTCCCAAATATAGAAAACCAAAAGATACATTCTGTTTTTGAAATTTGCTGTAATAAGTAACCAATTATATATATAAATATATATTACTGCAACTTAATGTAAATAATAATTTCGTATGCCGTTCCCAAAAGATAATAACCGACAAAAAATTATTAAATTACTTGGTAAGTTTTTAATATTAAAGTTTTGAAATTAACCTTGGTTTAATATCTTTTTTATTATAAGCATTTAAATCTTTGTTTAATGGCTATTATAGACTCAACCATAATAAGTTGTAAAAGTAAAATTGAAAAATTTAAAGTTATTATCTTGGATAACTATGGGCTGCCTGAAGAGATTGAGGTTAACATCACTTAGCTTCTTCTAAGAAAGGTTTAAAAGGATTTGTTACAGTGGGAAGTTCGAGCTCGCATCTGGAAAATTTTATTAAAGGTAGGCTTATTTTCTCGAGAGCATTACTCATCTTTGCTGTTCAAAGCCTCAGTGTATGGTAAGGTGACCTCAAATAGATATCTTCTTTGTGCTGTAAGTTATAATGTTTCTAATTTTCTATAAAGAAAAAATAGAAAATGATATAAAAAGGACGAAACCGCTTGTTATTGAGTTAAAAAACGAAGAACTTTGGAAAAAGCTAACGAGAATTCTAAATGCTTTTTGTGAAATTTTTTTTTAAGCATTTTTAAGATTGTTTACTTATTTTAATGAAACAGATAACGAAAAAAAATGTTACACACAAGGGATGAGCTGGGCTTGTACCATTTTTGCACTTCTCATGCCAGAGGTCAACTATTTTTGCGGTCTCCTTCTTTATATTAAGCAAAGCATCTACATTCTATTATTATATATATATTCGAGTCTGCTTAATTGTGGGCAACTAAGTAAAAAACTGAAATGCCTTTAGTTTTGTAAGAGGAGATATGCCTAGGTCAACGAATTTTAATTGGTTGTGAATCTTCTGTCAAATAGTAGCGTCTTAATTTATTTACAATTCACCTTTTTTTGTTATAGCTGGATTGTTTCTACTCCTTTTTGGAGTTTTCAAAAATAGTTTCAAACTATATGGCGCCTTATAACTACGGATGTACCATCGGTTGGAAGGTTCTTCTATACTTTTTTGTTTATATGATTCTAAATAATTTCCCTTTATTTTCGTTAAACTTTATTTTATTCTTCCAAATTTCGAATCTATTGCATCTTCATTTTTCATTATCATCTTTGTGGCTTTTGAGATTTAATAGATATTTAAGCAATATTACCAAAAACATAACTTATTTCGCCGTAGTTCGGAACCCAAAAGGAGAGAAATTTATTAATAAAAATTAATTTTTTTTTATTTGCTTGATTTGCGAAAAAATGTTACAACTTCTATAGCTGCTTGGCTTGAGCTTGCTCTACATCGATCCTGAGTTTCACCGCCATTTACTTCAAATTCCTGGTCCATCCTTTTCATTTATAAATACCATGTTTATGTTTACTCACTTTTAGGCTTTGCGTTCTTCCTACTGTTTCCTTTGGTGGGATTGTTTTTTTCCAACTGTCGTCCAATCGAAGAAGGTCTACTTAAATTTTTTATAATCTTCACGTATTTAACAACTTTGAAGTTTTTAGGGTTTGGGACTTTTTCCACGCATTTGGTTTCCATATGAATGTCTTGCTGTCTGCTGCTTTTCTTCTTTGCCACAAAAAATCTTTGTTAAAGTTGACCGGGTGCTTTAAATGTTCAGCTGAGATTTATTTAATTTAATTAAATGCCTTTTTTTAGCTCTGAACTATCCGATTATTTTCAAAATTCTCAAATAGAAATTGAAGCGGCTCCGCTGATCGCTTTATCAATAGAGTTCATTGCCCTCATCCCAAGTCTTCTATATTTACTCTATAAAACTTAATTAGTTTTCTAATCAGTGAACTAATCAAGTAGTGGAAATTTTCTCTTTTCCATTCATTTACCCAGAAAACATGCAAAATAATAATTCTTTTAAATAAAACTAGACTGGAATTAGCTGGTTAAGGTTAAGGTTAGGGTAGTGTTAAATTTAGTAAATTTTTTTTTATTACAATTGCAATTAGTGAATTGCAAAATAATAACTCTTTTAAATAAAGCTAGACTGAACTTACTCAAGTTTGACCATTAATTAAGTTTTGTTGTGAGTTAATATCAGTCTGTAATTTTTTGCGATACAACGATAAAAAAGAATTTTATTTACAAGTAATATAATGATAAATTTTGCTATACCAGCATAACTTACAATCGTTGCACGTGTACTGTTATACTGTTTTTCATTTATAAGTATACTTCTGTAATTGTGTTTTTTATTTAATAGGCGTTTTATATGAGGCGATCGTTGATCATACAACAACCATGGTTGATGTGGATGAGCTGGTTGTGTTATTGTTCCGGCCAAAAAATCATATATTTTTTAGTAAAAATAAAAGTAAAAACTAGCTGCAGCCCTCATAAATTCCTTTAACTAACTACTTTAGCCTAGCAATGGAACGAAAATTTTAGTTTCTGGTAGCAGTAGTCATTTAAAAATTTAAAGCAAAGGAGGTTGTAGGTAGCCCGAGGGCCTTCCTGCATCCTTTTCTACTTTGGAAAAAAATTTATACTATTAAAAACTAAGGTAAAGGTTACTAAAAAGTTTAATAATTTTTTTAAGAAAAATTTAGCAAATCTGGTAAGTTTTAGAAAGAAAGGAGTTTGTTACCAGGAGAAAGAGTCAAGAAACATAAATTACTAATGATAGCGTATTTCTGATTAAGTATAGCAAAATTGGCGTACACTAAATTTCATTTTCAAAATTATTAGTTCTTTAAAAAAACTTAACTACTGTAAACTTATAGAGTAACGTAAAAAGTGCTACTTAATACAAAACCCCAATCTCCTACTTATGTAATAAGAAACGCGTAACATCGTCAAAGAGAGAAGTATCAAAGCTTGAACCACGAGGAATATACATTCAGTTGTTCTACTATAAAAAATTGGTTAATGAAGGGACAATCAAATTTGCATCGCATAACTGAAAGAGCCAGTTAATATAGCTTTAAACATTTTATTCTCGCAAATAACCTTTAAAAACGCTAGTAGCAACGTACGCGACAGTTTCACTTCTCGAGTGCGGTGAGATGCATTTTGATAATGAAAACACAGGAGTTTTTGTTTCGCAAATCTTCATAACTTTAATATTAGGCGCTATAAGATATTCGGTAGGACCATGAGAAGTGAGCTCACACTATAGAAGACCCTGACAAATTACTTGCTCATACTAAGTGCTACAAATACCATGTGTCATTATACCACAAGTTCGTATCAGGTGTCTTGTATTACAAAAGGAGGTCTGCCAAAACTAAGATACAGTCAATAGAAAAAGTGCAATAAATTATAAACTTTGCAAATGACAATATTAATATAAGGGAATTTTTTAAAGTCTATTAATTTTGAAAAGCTAAAACACATGTGAAACTTGTTAACAAGTTGAAATCCCGACAAGAGCAAAGAACACTTTGAGGGTGTGCAGGGCTTATTAAGTAGCACCATTGCCCATTTTTCTTATAAGATTCCAATTTTTATAATTTTCAGTCATCTTAATTGAATAAGGCGTCTGTTAACTATACGTAAATACATCATATTCGAGACAGAGAGCTGTCGTTGTAGCTCGGCGGTGAAGGGAATTAACTCACAAACCTTAGGGTAGTAGGTTCTTTTTTTCACCGTTGTGCTCTCTTCTACGAACCTTAAATTGTGTGCATTTAACCTGCTCTTATAATTTTTAGTACCTACTAATACATTACATAAAGTCTACCGAGTTTCTGTGCTTGGCGTACATCAATTTATACCACTTCACCTATAAAATATCGTACATCTTAAAAAAACAGTATATTTACTATGCTAGCAGGTTTTTAGAGACATGCCTATAAAACTGCCATCATACTATTATATCAATAGTAGAGTGCTTTTCTACAGCTAAATAAAGCTTAAAAATTCTAATAGTTGGTACTAATCATCTTCAGGTAATCAGCTGAAAGATTTAAAGTAAAGAAAAGTTTATACTGAGAGTGGATAAGAGGTAAGAATGAAAAGGTGAAACTGCAAGAGCGATAACCATTAAAATTTATGATAAATATTTTATAAAATTCAAAGGAAATCATGAGTTATGTAAAGTGACTTTTCAAATGGTACAGTTAAGATGAACTTTTTAAAGTCAGTTAACTCAGTTTTACAAATGTTAGCAAACAAAAACTTTCTAACTTCTCAATGCTAGTTATCTTTCGGCAGATGAGTCAACTCTTCGTATAAAAAGGTAAGAGAACGGTTAGCAATAAAAGCAGAAACAACGGATATGTAAAACTAATTTATTATATAATAACAGCTTTTCCAAGTTTGCATAGCTAATCCCCTCGTTACCTTGAAGGAAAATTTAGTACAGTATTTCAGGCGTCTAGCTTGGCGTAACTGGACAGGGGTCGGGTCAGTTACTATCCAACCCATGGAGGCGTCCAATTTTGTGGTGGCGGTCTAGAATGTAAAGCGACCTCTAGACTTCCAAAGCGGTGTAAGTATACCGCGAAGTGTTAAGTTTACATATTATAAGGTAATGAGGCGATCATTTCGTTGTTATTAATCTCGCCATATATAGAGTTCATTATGAAATATCTAATTTATTAATTCCGGAGTCACAATTAAATTTCAACTAAAAATAAGTTATACATTCACTAAATAAAGGTCCTGTAGTTAACCTTAAATAACTAATATCATACTGGTTTATAGAAACGAAGAGATAACTCATTTATAATAGTACCAAGGGAAAATAATTCTGAGAAAGACTTTTTGGGTTCTTATAATCGTACATAGTCCGAATTGTTAAACATTAATTATTTTCTATGAATTTATTAATTTAAATTAATTAGTATACCTTAGTTCTGACGGTTTCAGGAAAATACAGTGTGCTTTAAGGTTTAGTTACCAGCTTCTAAAAAGTGACGTGAATATCAAAAAAAAACTAAGGAAATGAACTAAGGTTTAATTTGACAAAATATATCAAACTCGCAACGATCGGTATCTACTTAAGTACATGATAACCCCTAAATATCTGTTTAACATCTGCTTTTCAGTGTAACAATTTTAACTAAAACTTCTAATATATATATTTAAATTAATGAGTTTAATAATAAAAACGATGAGCTTTGTTGACTTATAGTTTGTTCCGTTTTTGTTACTTTAATCACAACATCAGGCACACTTTTAAATAAAAGATTGACTTTCAAGATTGAATTGACTGTAAAACCTTTTGTAAAGGCAAACTATTCAATACAGCTTAAGTTATAATTTATATTCTAGTAAAACAGTACATCATATTTAAAATTAAAAGAGATTACTCCACTAATAACTAAACGCACAAGTTAAATTTATAACTTTCTAATAAGTACTTTTTATTAATTAATGTCCTCGCAATTTAAAATAAAAGCGAAAAGTAATCAAGTTATAGAAACAATGCACAGCTAATTGTTAACATTCTTTAGTAGTTCACCCCGTTGAAAAATAAGGTGTCTAAAATTTCTATTTTTTACTAAACATCTTGCTTAAAATTAGCTTTAATTTTACGACTGAATAAGCGCTTCTTATAAATAGTCAATAATTTCTACTTGTATACAGTACTATATGTTGCTCAAGGGCTTTAAAAAAGGTGCAGTGGTCCCTCCTTTTTACAGTAACTAAATAAACAGATTTATAATAGTATTCTAAGTTTTTACATATTAAAATTTTTAGTACTCATGCGTTTAGTTGAACTTTAATTATAAATGTTTTTAGGTTTAAAGCTAATGTGCCTTCTCTTGAACAAATCTGCGGCCCAAGTTTGTCTGTCTAGTAATAATACTAATTTTTGGTAGTTTATTAAAATATTAGGTCACATTCCCAATATAAAAGTTCCATACAACACTTAATTAATCTGTTTTATGTAATAAACATGTTTATTTTCTTACAATTCTAAATTCTCTTATTTATGTTTAGACCATTAAAAATAATTTTGTATTCCATATAATGTTTATTATACCTTGAGGGTGAGCTTTCTGGTAGCCCTTTAATTCTGATTATAGCTTATATTTGTTTTAGGGTACATTCAGCTTTGCGAGGGAAGCTTCATTACTAAAATTAAACTGGTTTCAAGCTATTTCGCTTAAGATTATTTAAAGGTACATTTTAATAGGTTTGTAACACGCTAAAGAATTTAAGTTTTTGTCTCATACCTTTTTTACTTTTATTATTTAAAAGTTACTTCTGTTATGCATCCTATAATTTGCACCTGGTAAATCCATATAACTTCGAGTACTTATTATTTTTTATCACCTTAGAAAATGGTGTTGGCAGATGCCTCGTCCACAATAGATGCTAATAAAGTAATTTATAGTTTTAATAGAGCACTTTTTAGTAGGTTATATTCTTTTCTTAACCTTTTAAATTACTTAGATTTTATCAAAGGAAGGAAGAGAAGCGTCTATTTATGTTAGAAGATCTAGAAGGGGCACCAAACGTATAAAATATTTATCCAGTGGCGAAGAGAGTAGCGAAATCAATGAACCTTCTGATACACTTTTTATAGATGTAGTTGACTCACTTAATAAAGGAACTATTAACAAAGCAGGTAAAGTAAAAATTTTAAGAAAAAAAACAAATAAAAAAGCGGAAATTGTTAATAACTACAAATCTCGTCCTCTGAGAAGCAAAGATAGTACTAAATTTGACGAAATCTTGAGCTCCGAAACTAAAACCATTGCTGCGCCGATAACTGATTTAAATGTAAATATGACAGAAAAGTCTTTAAAAGGCGAAACATCTGGGTCAGTTAATAATATTATGAATTCCTTGAACATTAAAGGGTTTATAAATAAGCCTTATGAAAGTCGATCTGGATTTTACCCTAAAAGTGTTTTTAGTGAAAGAGAAAATTACTCAGGCTTAGAAGATTACCAATCAATTTTGGTTAAGTATAGAAATCTACTTATCATGCGTAATACAGAAGCTGAGTTTTTAGCAGAAAAATTTAGAAAGGAGTGTTCCGATTTGGAAAAAAGTTTATTTTGAGTTTTAATTTAATAACTTCGACTTCTAATTTAATTGCAGTTGATCAAAAGGTTGTTGAAACTTTACGTCAGACCAATTCCGAGTTGACTACGACTGTAACAGAGCAGGCTTCGGAAATTATACATATAAGAAAGCAACTCCAAGAGTTTTGCTTGCAACATTCTCCCGGTGAAACCTTAAATTTCTTACTTTTAAATAAACTTGTGATATTTAAAGATTATTCAATTGTCCTTTTTTCTCAATATTTTTTTGCCATAACTTAAAGGTGACAAAGACGCAAAAGCTAATGAAGCTCACAGGGAAGTAATTGATGAACTTAAACAGTTACTTGAAAAAGAGAGACACGCAACTAAAGAACAAACTTTTAAATACAAAGAGCTTCTACAAAAAATTACGGAAATAGAGAAAAGTAAATATTTCTTTCGACTGGTGGAAATTTTCCTGTTTTTTTTATATCAAAATTGCACTTTTTTTTGTTAATTGTAAGCGCATTTTTAGCTGAAAAAAATTAGTTTACTCTATATGACTACAAAATTTGTTTAGATTTGTTTTTTTATCAAAGGTTACGGGCTTTTTTTTTATAAATTTCACTTTTTTTAGGACATGAATTACAGATTTTTAAATTAAATGAGCAACTTTGTAAGGAAAAGCTAACAATAAAGTCTTTACAAGAAGTGGCAAAGGCAAAAGGTACTAAAGTTGCTTCAGAATTAAATAACTTGCTACACACAATTTAAAGCTGCTCTGGAAACCGAAAATGAGCAATTAAAAATTATACTACAAGAAAAGCCTACTAAAGAAGGCATCTATTTTAACTTTCCAAACTTCCAAACGTTGTCATATTAAATCAATTTTATGTCAGACTTAAATAATCTTATAGAGGCCCATAATGAAATAGATCGACTTAACAACCTACTAGAAAACGAAAAAAGGGAAAAGAACAGTTTTGAAGTCCTAAAGCATTATTATTATTTGCCATACTAGTATTTATTTTATATTTTTTTTCGGGAGAAGCTCAAACTTTCCGAGATAAGACAGAAAACAAATATAATAATAGAAAAATACAGTACACTAAAAGAGGAGTATGCGCGATTGAATCAAAAATATGATCGCGAACACAATGAACACAAGCTTATGCTAGAATATGTCAACTTTTATAGCAAAATTAGTGGCATTACAGTCACAAAAAACTTTACGGAATTAAATTCTTTTACTTGCAGGTTGGAAGAAAGCCAGACAGGTGCTACAACCGCTATTTATATCTGGGTGATTTTGGCGCCCAATTAAAGGCGTAATACTAAGTGGCGTTTTTTAATTTCCTTTTTTTTTGTTGGGGGGAGGGCTTTTTTAAATTTTTTTTTGAACTACTTATTTTCATAAAAATGTATTACAATAATTATTTAGAATTTAAGTTAATTTTTCAACCAGAAGAAGTTGAATACGTTCCCAGGATGAACGTACTGCTTTTCAAACTTTATTTTTAAAGTGACCTTAAACAAATTTTGCAGGTTGAGTTCCTCCCAGAGTGCTTTCAAGAAGAACTCATATTTAAAAATGAAATGCTTCAACCTTTTTTCGCTCAACTAAACCAAGCCTTAGAATTTTGGCGGGGATCTAGAACTAGCTAATTTGTAATTATCTATTTATATATTAAGTTCGAGTACTAAAGCCGACTTATTATTAGTGACTTCAAGATTTTTTTAGGGTGTTATAGTTTGTAAATTAGGGCTCTGTGAGCTTTAGGATGAAATATTTTGTTGAAAAAACAAGCTGTTTTAAATTGTTTATGCTGCACTGTTAGGAAACTAAGTTTTTTTTTATTCTGTAGTGTTAAAGAAAAGTATTACTTTAATAAACTAAAGCTGGAATAAATTTTACTTTATAAGTACTTTATAATGAGAAAACAAATGCATGCTTTTTAGAGTATGCGGGGCAGCAGAGCAGATTTCTTGCCTGCAGGACCCCTTTCGCTCGCTTAAACCATTTGCCTTAAACTAAATATTTTTTGGACTTCTATATAACCTTGTTTGCCGCATCCACTTTTTTAGTATAAGTTGAGTTAAAAAACGATAGTTTAACGTGTCAAACGTAAAGTGATTTCTTTCTCCTTCAGGTGCGGTTGGGTGCTCTGCGTTTAACTCTCTTGTCTTTACTTCCTATTTTTTTTTAAAGTGTTAAATTATTGGTAGTTTCTATTTACCCTGCGAAAACTTTTTATTATCATCTGTGCCTATAGCGGCGGTCCTAAGTTTGTTTATCGGCTTCAGGAAATATTAATTTCGTTAAAATTCGAAGTTCTCGCTGTAATGACAAAACATATTTTTATTAAATCACACATAAAGCATTTAAAAAATTACCACACTTAGTTTCGACTTTGCACTTTTGCTAAGTTTTAATAATACCACCTGAATTTTTGTTTTAAAATATAATTGCCCAATGAAGTACGAATTATAAGTTATACATTGGTCGCCGAGGTAGTTACAAATAAATAGTTAGCAGCTAAGGTATTTTGGATACAGTATTAAAGTTTAGTGTTAACAATAATAGAGGGCCCTAAAGTTAAGTTATAGTATTTCTATATTATAAAGGATTAAGACCTTTATTTTTGTGCTTTGCGTACAGAGTACACCGAGCGACCACCTTCCGTAAGAAAATATATTAACTCTGCCTACAAAGTAGTCTTTTTAAAAATTAATCTCTAATTAGGTCTTATGTTATTCTCCTCCTTTAACTTTAAGGAAAATTAAGTGCATTTCAGTCTTTTTCAAAAAATTGAAACCCACAAAAAGAGTAAGTGACTTATTGCACTTTGTTCAAGTCCTTTGCGCCACTGTTCACCCTCCTCTATCGGTGATGACATTGCTGAAGACTAAAATAAGCTGTTGTATTGCTATTTATTTCGTCTCATAACACTTTATTACTGAAAAAAAATGTATACGCTCTACCTCGTAACCTCCATTAATTTGCGTTTACTGTGTTATCGAGAATTAACCGATTAAATATGTACGATTGTTTGTTATTGAATAATTGTACTAATCACTATATATCTTACTTAGCTTAAGTACTTTTGCGTTTGCAACTAGTCTATGCTTAAACTACCAAACTATAAATTTTTTATTTTCAAGTGCTGTATAGCCCAGTCCGGGATTATGCGATACTAAGATTTAGGTATCACGTTGTGGTTCATATTTGTTTTTGTTTTTATTTTTATTTCTTAAAAGTTGATCCTTAAATATTATTTCTATTTAGCAATCCGAACTTATTAAAAGTAACTAAAATTACGTAATGATGAGTGATACAGCCCCTTACTCTTCTTTGCAAGAGGCCTTACCATTAACTTAATTGCATCGTTGTTCCGATAAGCCCCTAACTTGACCTGTATTACTCTATCATCTGCTATAACAGCGCAATAAAGCCAGCTTGAGCAATATAAAAGACCTTAGAAAGAGGGACCAGGAGGTACTCAGAGTATAGATGATCATATGAACTTCGCTTCCCCTCCATCTTTTCTTTTTACCAATTTCTGGTGCGCTTGTTTACTTTGGTTTGAAAAGTTGTTTACTGTTTAATTACTTGACAAGACTTTCCTTGTTATAAAAAGGACACATTAAAAGATAAATAACTATAAAAAAGACAAGCCACTGAATGCTCTTGGCGTCTAACCCGTCTGACTCAAGCGCCAGACAGATAAGTTCAAGCCCGGTTAAAAATAAAAATTTAGTTGTGCACAATTAAGAAATTTTGAATCTTATCATATTATTAAGTAATAAATTAAGCCCATATGTAAGAAATATGTTTATATTTTTAATAAATAATTTTTTTTTCTTTTTTTTTCCTTTGCTTGTACTGAAATACTAAAAGTTTGTTCAATATAGTCGTTCGAATTGTGGGTTTAACCGACGCGTAGCGAGCTGGCCTTGAAGGATTAAGATAAGATAACTTTGACTTAGCCTGGTAGCCATATTTAAAAACAGGCAGACTGTCTAACCAGCGATGGAGTGTGGGTTGCTACCCTAGTCCCTAGGGTAAGGGACTGAAATAGTGTTATTCGCTAACAAAGAAAACGAAGGCTCCCTGTCTTAGTGAGATTCCAGGTGTCTCTTTTGGTAATGGTCTTTAGCAGTTTTCCACTCCCTTCGAAGTCATGATACTCTACCAAGAGAGTAACAATTGTGTGCACTTGTGCTCAAAAATACAGAGCATCTGTTGGTCTTCGCTAATAAAAAGGTTAATAAATTAAGAAACAAGTTTATACTATTTATTTCTAACAAGTAGTTTAGAAGCTCCCTTAGGTAGGAGTCGCTTTCTTTTTTAGGTGGATGCAATCCTTTGGTTCTATGGACTTAAGTGGCTTCAGAATTGTTATTGCTGCAACTCCAAGAGAGTATGCTCCACAATTATGGTTAATTTCTTTATATGACACACAGGATCAATGCTATGTAAAGTCAGCAATAATAAAAAAAAGTATAAAGCGCTTTTTTTATTTAACCTTCGTCAAAGGCGTGAGACTTTATGTACAATAATTTTTTAAGGTACAATGAACTTTTTGTGTTTTAAGTGGACTTTTTAGTTACAGTATCTTTTTTTACTTTTCTATACAACTTTACTTCACTTGGAATTAAGTGATTCAAAATAGTTTACTTTAGAACTATTTACACCAAACCTAACAAGGAACAAATTGAAATAATTAAAGCGGTGCAAACAAATATAGAATGCATATACAAAAGAAAAACTTTTTTACAACTTCTACTCAACTACAGCTTTAGTGTTACTTTTTTCTACAAGACACCGAAAGCCGACCATTGCGTTGGTGCACATCCTATGCACGTCTAGCTTGCAGCGGCTGCAGCGGTAGCCCTGCTTAATTAGTCCCATCAGCCCCGTGTTACAAAAATGGCAGGAAGTCGGTGAGCAGTATGTTTTGGCTGTCCATATGTGGGCCACACACGGAGGTTTCAGCGAGTACTGCGAAAGTCTAAGCGGTGAATCTTTATGCCATTCGTACGGAAGAGTTAGGGTGGAAATCCTCTCCAGTTTCAGCGTATGCAAAAGTTCGCCTGTCCACGAGTTTAAAATAGTCGGATCGTGGTTTCGTATTAAATTCATAACTTCTGTTTGCCGCTGTTCAGAGAAAAATAAATCATAGTATGACACAAACTTCTCTAATCTTCTCATATTGATGTGGATGCCATTTTGAGCAAAGACCTAATTAAGTTACTTTCCGTTATAATGAAATAAATTATAAAAAAAAATCAAAGCTATGCATATTAACAAAAAGATATATAATGTAATTTACTATTATATCCGAGTTGGAATTCACCGTGCATACAATCTCTGCTAATTCTGACAAAGAAATTTTATATAATGCTTCTCTCAGCTTGCCTGTTATGGGATTAGTCGTACCGTAAGCATAAATCAAGTGGTTGCCGTCAACCAACTTCTGTGCGTTGTATGTGATATAATTATAAACCTAAGCAAGATCCGCCTGATCAACTTATGAATTAAAATCTAGCAGGAAACTGGTTTGGACATACCCTCGTAGTAACTTCTGTCACTTCCCATGAGAGCTCCTGGAACATGGTACTCTCTAAGCAGAGACACGTAAATAATCAAAGCTCGGAATAAATGAAATCAAAAGTGTGCACCGGTAGCTTCCACTTCGCCGGTTACTACCAAGGAAAAATTGTCAAGCCATTCAGCGATGCAAGGATCATTAGTTATAATCTTAAAATTTTCAACGCACACGACGGATTGCGGTTTTGGGAGTATAGGCTGAAAAGAATTCTGGCAAAATTTTTCAAGCTGATCGTAACCGTGACTGGACGGTCTTGTGACTAAAGAAAAGTTAGAATAATTTAGACTAGTAGACGATAACGAAGTTCAATACTAACTTGTATTGTCAGACATAGGCTGGTACATGTGAATTTCAGTGTCTCCGAAAATCTAAAATTCAAAAGTTAATATAAATTGGAGGGTTGGCAACGAATTTAACCAGTACGTTACCACACCGCTATAGTCGCCTTTCGGTGGTATTTCAATAAAGTTAAGTATAACGTAAATATTTTCCATGAGGCTCATACGGGGGAATGCCTTTCGAAGCAGCGAGATCTGCTGATCTGTTATTTTCCTAGACGTTCCCGCAATGTAGGCGCAACCAAATTGAGAGTGATGAGCGTACGGTAAAGATGTGCAGTCCACAAGTTTTTGACCAAACAACTGTACATACTTACACGCCCGTAATCTGCGAAGCAATTAAGGAAGATAAGTTTCTTTTAAGGTTCAGAGCTATTTTACAATTTTTGACTGAAGGGTAAGGCCTACTCTATGTGCTACTAAATTTAACTCAAAAAAAACAACACGCTATAAAACTAGGTGATCCCTGGTAGAACGAACTTGTTTAGTGGAAATAAGCGCATGTTACATTATAGAAAAAAAGCAGCAAAGCTAAACCTATATTCCTTGGCGAGTTCTGAATTATCAGGTATGTGCATAAACCAATAATAATTCTATACAGTTCTAAGGCCCTTATAAATTAATAGTGGAAGTATAAGAAAGAAATTCCACGACAGAACATCTAAGAATTTGTGTATTAACGATAGTGATTAGTTGACCGCGTAACTGCGCCGAAGTGGGTTTATTCAAATACTGATTTGTCCATACCTCTTTTTCATCCTCTTATAATGCTTCCTTGTTAAGAATAAATAAGCCTTGCCTTGCGCTTAAATATTTCTTAAATTGTTTTCACATGCAAGTAAATCTTTCTTATTTCCCGATCAAGTGGAGAAACTTATAAAACATGAACTATCACTTTAGTCGAAGTTGAAGAATATTATTATTAGAACAAATTTATTCAACGGGAGTTACTTCTAAACAATTATAGTGTTTTAAATTTTATTAATGTTCAAAAGTAGCACTTATCAAAGTGTATTATCACCGCAATACACTAATAGATTAAATTATCTTGCACAACAAAATAGTAAATAATGCACAATAACGAAACTATTAGCACAATAACAATTTATTTCTGCTCTATATAAAACAATTAAGAAGTGAGGATAATCACATATATATTGAATTCACTAAAAAAAATTTATATTGTTAATAATAATATACTATCGTACACCTAAATTGTTAATTTTATTTAATAGTTAAATCCAAGGAGCAAATGAAAGTATCAATTTTTAGTTCGCTCTCAAAGTTAAGCTAAATATAACTTCTTCATTTCTACAAACTACAAGGATTTAAACCTCATTTGTTGGTTTTCAATATCTTATTATTAAAATTGATGCCCATTCCAAGTATACCATTGCAAGTATTTACCTAATGGAAAACCATAAGAAATTTGTGACTTTTTTTAGCTACCCCCATAGAAAATTTAAAACTAAAGATAGGACCAGATGGGTATTATTAATTGAAGGACAACAAGAATTAATTGTAAGCTTCAAAGTCAACTACTGCCTATAGGTTAAAAGTATGCTCCTTAGATGCTAGTGAACAAAGTATACAATTGTCATCTTTGAAAATGATCACTTGAACGCTCGTGTCTCCTTCAAATAATTGAGTAAAACCATGAGTGGTTTTTAACAAATATTATAAAATTTTCTTTTTAACCTTATTAGATTCATGACACAAGTTATCAGAATATAAGCATGTTGGTATCTTTTAAAGTATTATGACGCTAATATAAGAAAATGATAGTCAACTAAACAATTAAAATACTAAAGTGCTTTCAAAACATTAACCCTAAAACTAAATAAATATAATTTTTATTCTTTACTTTTTAGTTTTGTTTATAATATATATAATTAATATTATTAATTTGTTATTTTAAAATATAATTATTAATAACTATCAATAATTATTTATAATTACTATTTTTTATTTTGGTTATTTATATATTAATATTTGTAGGTAATTCTATGTTGTCGCAGAATCTCACAGTTTATCAATCAAAATGTATTACCTTTTATCAACTAATTCATAATAGTATTATATTAAGTGTCATATTATCTTAAGTGTCTCTAATAGCCCTCAATCGTAATTTAAAAGCGAGCAATAACAATTTTTATATATATAAGCTTAATATCGATAAAAATATAACACTTCGAATTACAATAAAATAGCAATAGAACGAAGCATGACGATAAATTAAACAATTTTAGTACCCAAACATTACCTCTGTTAAACCACCGGTGCTTTCTTTTACGACCCTGAAGATCATAAGGTTCTCTGACGGTTATAAGCTACAAAAATAATTAAATGAAGTATAATCTTATAGCAAGAGTGGAGCTAATGCACAACTATATCAAAGCTGCACTCAGGGGGAAAGGGGCCTTACGAAAAACTGTAAAATGTAAACAGAACTTAGAAATTAAATTTAGAAGCAATGTTAACTTATAGAGAGGCGCTTCATATAGAAAAAGTAGAAGAATCAGCTTCCTCACTCTAAGGTTGAAAGTCTTAAAACGTATGTTTAAGCGCTCATAACGCTATTCATAATATTTTCATGCATTGGTCGCATTTAACATAGTATCCAATGAAAATAATGTTAGGGGCGCATGCTAGATCAAAGGCTTACAGTCAACGGTATACCAGGAAAGGTCGAGTCACGTGGATAGTTGTCGCACGGAAAAAGTTTATTATTACCGCCTTGAGGCTTATACACAGAGCGCCCATCGCAACTAATGCTTCGGTGGTTCAGTGCATTTTTCATTAAAAAGCGTTAGCTTTATGCTGCAAGACCAGCTCTTATATATTTATATATTTTTTTTCTCGACTCATACCCATGTTTTTTTTATTCCCTTGTGACTATACAATTGTTATAAAAATTTATGAAAAAATGGAAAACGGGAAAGGAAGGAAAATCAAGAAGTAAAAAGTGTACAAATAAAAAAACCAATTTTTTTTGGGAAGTTAAGTTATGATTTGTTGAAAGCTCTTCTGCGAGGCCTTTGCCCTTAAGGGTCTCGGTGGAAACCGCGACCTTAAGTATGCGCTTCAATGTTCATATAACGCTGAGTTACGTTGCAAACTATCGCGCCTAGTTTGATGTTTTCACGTAGTTAACATGTTAAAAGTATTATATAAGTACTCACAGAGAGCAGCTCACTCAATTCCTTTCTTTTGTCTCGTTCTACCCACGTGGTTATTTTTATGCCGTTACTTTCATAATGAAGGTGCGATTTAAATCTTCAAGGCGACCGTGCGGTAGTTAAATGTGAAGGTGTGTAGATAATAGGTTAGGTCAGAACACGAAATAGGCCCACGTAGCAAGACTGGTCTTGCACATTCTGGGGCGTGGCCTTCTTGCAAAAGTTATTTATAAACAGAAATATATTGAAATATAATAGTTAAAAAGAGCGAATTAAAAAATAAGTAATAAAAAGAATAAAGATCTCTATTGTAAAGTCGCTTCCTTAATATTATTATTTACATAGTTTGATTTTAAATTTTAGTTATGCTTGTTCCTTTTGTGAACTGTATATTTCTGTTAGCAATTTTATATTTACTTTTAGTGCGCTTGCTAGATTTAAAGTAAAACTCTGCAAGCGCCATAAGTAGCGCAGTTAAAATTTTCCATTAAAAAAAGTGTTACCATTAGCTTTCGCGTGATTACCGAGATTTGCTTATTCTATATTCCTTGGCCTCCGTAAAAAGTTTTTCGATGGCAGAAGGCAACTCTGTTCTTACTAACTTCTATTTTATATCAATTAGATTAAATTTCACTTCTATACAAAAGCAGAAGGTGACCCTAACAGTACCAACTTTTATTATTAAATAAATAATTAACATTATTATACACTTATAGTTTAATCCTTACCTTTTAAGAGAGTAGAAGCTCCAATAAACTTATAATACAAATTGTTGCAGTAATTTGATGTTCCCTAACACACAAAACCTTTGCATAATTCTTAGACTTCTGCCTGAACCTTGCTTTTTTAATTTTCTTATAATACTCTTTTTAAAAAAAACTTTCAAAAAAATTTAAAAAAGCATATACTATCTTAAATAAGACACCTTTTGTTCGCTTAATATAGCGCAAACTGTTAAAAATTATATTTTTTAATAGTTATAACTAACAAGTTATTTTTCTTAAAAAAAAATTTAAGCAGCAACTTTACGAACACCAATTCTTTTTTTTTTTTTAGGTAAACAATTGGAAATAAGCAAGCAGGCTACCTCAATATAAAAAATACAACCAATCATTAGTAAGCATCGAGACTACAAACCTCTTAAGGGGATTTATAACGTTTTATTGTAGTAAAAAAAAAATAGTAAGGAATTCAGTGGGTAAAGATGTTCAAGAGGATATATATAAATTTTATTAAGGCAAAAAAAGAATTCTGTGAACTTTTATCCTTAAAATAATATTTAAGTGGCTTCGTTGTAAAATTTTAGCAGTTCTGATCTATTTTTATCGGCTGCACGATCGGCTGCTGTTTTTTTGACTTTCATTTTAATTTTCTTTCCAGTGATCGCACTAATTTTTTCATTTTCCCTAGAACGCTATTAAAAAAAGATATAGCAGTAAAAAATAAACTAAAAATCTCCAAGTATAAGTAATATTAAAAAAAATGTATAATAAAAAAATAAGCGGAAGACGTTTATTGACGATTATAAGTAAAAATTGTACAAAATTTTGATTATGTATAAATAGTAAAAAAAATTTAACTCAATTTAAAGAGAAATTTTTTTACCTTTAATGTTTTTTTAAATTTCTTTTTCTTTTCTTTCTTTTTTAATTTCTTTTTTAAGAGTTTACTACTCTATTAAAAAAATTAATAATAATTATAGAAAAAAGATTTTTATCAGGTGACTTACAAAATAACGATAACTTTAAAGTTTATTTATAAAAAACTAGTAATAATAAAATTTTAAGTAATTGTGGATACCATGTAAAATAAATTAATTACAAAAAAAAACATGAAGAGTTAAATTCTAACAACTAAACTATATTAACAATAAAATAATATAAAAATTAAAATTGTAAATATATTAGTAAAAAGCGACGATTTATATATAATAAAAATAATAAAATCAATTTGTCTTCGTCAAATTACTAAAATGAAATCACAAAAAAATTCAGGAAACTTAATTACTAAATTATAAATTCCCTATTTTGTATTTATTACGATGGTAAAAAAAATTAAAACATATATTAATAATTTCAATAAAGTAAAAAATAATTTACTATAAATAATCATCAACCAAACATAAAATAAAATGTAAACCAAAAAGCTGCGAATAATAACATGCCTATAAAATATCAATTTAGTAAGTTTCAAATTTTTAAAAAAAATTAATTAAATTTTATTTACCGTTTTCAATTTTAAAAAACACAAATTAACAAGAATTATAAAACTTTGAACTAATTTAATATAAATTTCACTTGAATAACGACCAAAAGAGAAAAGAATTTTAAAAACTTAAATAAATTATAATCCTCTAAGAATTAAGGTATTTTTATAAATATTAATTTTTTAACTTATTCAATAGAATGAAGCAAGATTCAAATAATGATTTACTTTTTTTTTAATAAAAAATTTCTAATGTTTCTTTACTTAAACTATACTTTTACTATATAAAATATATAAAAAATAAACAATAAAATCTTCTAAAAAATATTTATTTATAAAATTTCGACAATAAAAGAAATAAAAATAACCAACCAGAAAATTAGATAAAAATGTATAATTAAATATGCTACGAGCACGTTAAATCCAAGCAGTTACGCTAAAAGGTAGAAACTATAACATCAGTTTTAAAACTTAAAAATATTATTTTTTATTAACTAATAAAACTGAATTATAATTCTACACTATCAATTGACTATTTTTAAGCAATGCTATAATAGAACTTTAAATTATATCAATTCGGAATACTAATAAACTTTTAGAGTTATACTAAATTAAAAAAAATGAATACTAAATTTTATGAAGTGGAGAGAATTTTTTTTAAATATTAGTCATAATAATGTTAATACCTTTCTATTGGATGAAGAAGACTTTCTTTTTCTCACTGGAGAATCTGTCGATCAATAAATTAAAAATAATTTTTATTTTTAAAACTTTTTTTATCTATAAAAAGGTTATAAAAAAACCTTATTTACGAAAGTTATTAAATAAAAATATATAATTGCAACAAGTTATCAAAATGTAATTTAAACAATTATTTTACTTATAACAGAAGACAAACTACGAAAAGTATATCCAAGGAACAAAACAAGGAAGTATACAAGAAAAATAAAAATAATTTAATTTATAGTAAAAAGAAATATTACGAATTGACAATTATAGAATATAATATTTTAAACCACTTCGAATGATAAGTAAATTAAAAAACATAAGAGATAAAAATTAAAACTCCTCAAAACCCCTGAGTATGAATCGAACTCAACGATAAGTAAAATACGATAGTATATTTTATAAGAGGGATTAATAGCTAAACATGTAAATAAATTAACTAAGAAATTTTTTTATACAAATAATCAATTTTTTAAATTTAAAAGAAAAAGTAAACATCACCTGAGCTTTCAGTGTCTGAGAAGGTTTCACTTATTATAGTACTAACTGGCGAGTTCTCAGGGGTAATGTATGGAGAAAGATCATCATAATCAACGGAAGAGGAAGAGGAGGAAGAGGAGGAAGAGTGTGGTGAAGTGCCGCGAATTCCTAAACTACTTCTATTTTTATCACTTCCATAAGAAGAGTTTTTGACAGGATTCAGGTTATGCTCACGATCACGAGGGCTTTTACTTTTTCCTTTATAGTTATTATCTAAATCAGATGATTTACATTCATGTCGACTTCGAATTCTATTAAGGTCGCCCCTTTTACGACGTTCATAATTAAAGGGGGGGCTCAAACTTTAGATAGGAATAGAGTAACTACATAAGAAAAAAGACATAAAACTATATAAAAGTTATTATAATAATAATTATTAGTCATATTTAGTAAAGCAGTAATTAAAATTTATTAATAAAACAACATAAAAGATTCTCATAAAGCAACCTAGGCCGTTCGGAGCGAGACATAAACTTGAGTGCAAATCACAATAAAAAAGGATTAAAACTAATTAACTATTCAAGCTTTTATGGCTAATAAAACTTTTAATGCAAAAATTGATAGACATAGAATGTACATTAGTAAAGGGACAATACTCCTTTAATAGTTTTCGTACAGTCAAAAACTAAGCTTACTAAAAAAGAAATACTAAATGCATGCAAGACGCGGCCTCCACGAGGGATGCCTTTTAAGTTTTGCAGGCTTATTGTTTATTCTAAGCACTCGCCACAGAATAATACACCTCGGATTAATTTCTGAAGCTCATATAAATAATTTACGTTCTAATATATTAAGAAAAATATTGGAAAAGCGTCATAACTAAATTTTAGAAAAATAATATTATCAATAACCAAAATCACTATTTGCAAGTGCTCTGCAAAACTATTGGTGTTTATTTAAACGGTGCTCCACCTATACATGATAAATATTTAATACTGCGCGCGGAGGGAGGAACATATATTTTTATTCATTTGTCGTTTAATAACGGAATGCAGTTGACATTAGAGTGTCTCACTGCTTATTATATAGAGCGATAGTTAAAGATTATCGATCCTGAAGGTTTCTAAGAAACTAACGTCTTCACCCGTAGATTTTTAATTCACGTAATTTCTTTATTTGTTTGTTTACTTGCTAGTACACCTTGAGGCGTTAGAAGCCCTCTGTACTGAGAATCAGGTTAAATAGAGAGGTAATCGTATGTAGACTAAATACTTATTCGGTAGAGGTAACTTTAAGACAGTGTAGAGAGAGGCCACTGCCTTCTTAGCTTTGTTAGTAACGTAATCTATATGCTTAATTCAGATATTTTTTTTAGCTGGTGTCACTCTTAAATATAAAAACGCCCCCTTTGAGCTCACCAAAACTCTGCACATTAACATTATTTATTTACTATATATTTCGATACTCTTTAACGATTTTCGTGAGAAAGAAACTGAGTTGTATATTTAATTAAGCAGAAAGCTGGGAAGAGAAGGATAGTGTTAAATCACCTGGAATGTTATTTCGGTTTTTCTATACGTAAGTCTGCTATATAGATAGATAAAATCTACGTCGCAAGGGTACCTAGTGACCCACAATTTTAACTCTAAATTAGGAAGAAACCACCGATTCAATTGAACATTCTCAAGTCTTTTCACGGCTATAGTTTATTTAACAGCTTTAAAGCTGAGCAGTAGCCAAGGCAATTCAATGGTTTGCCTAATCATAATCAGAACTACACCGAGATCCCTGTGCTTGTTGTAGTATTAACTTTAAATACTTCGAACTCTCTAACAGGAATACTCTCATTTCCATATCTGGATAATTAAAGATGGGAGTAATAAGAATACTACACCGAAGTAATCTACATATAAAAACATTATTTATTTACTACATACATAAACACAAGGATGACCCCAGCCAATAGTGGTAACTTAAATTTTGCCTGTTATATTTTGTTTATTCCTTTGAAAATCAGCGCAGAATTAAATTTAATTTGAAACACTTTAATAAAAGAACGTAATAAAAAGAAGTCACTAAACTTTTTTAAAAGTTTTAAAAAAATATAACTAAAAACTACCAAATTCCTAATCAGGATTTAAGTAAAAAATAAGTCAGTAAGAATTTCAAAAATTTATTAAAATTTTTTTGGGAGACGATAATACTTCAGTCAGGATTAAGAGAAAATTCAAAAAGGTTAAGATTCTAAACAACACGAGGATGCAAACTATAGCTAACGTTCTATAATTTGCTGTACGTTAACTCTTTTTCCTTCCTCTTCCCGCAATATTTACTTTTTTATTTTTGTTTTTACTCTTCTTGACAACGGCGGCCTAAAAGAAATAAAGTTATAAAAAAAACCGAAAGATTAAAAAAAAAAAATTACGGGCCGCTTCGATGCCGTCACCGAAAAAAAGGAATCAATTCGTCCTTGAACCGCCGCCGTTGCAGATTTTACAAGTTTAGCTGCGCCGTTGCGAATTCGTTCATGACTAAATCCATTTTCTTCACACATAAACTGAACTAAACCTTCAATATCCGGCAACTGCCAAACAAGCTACGAAAAAAAAATTATCAACAAAAATCACTAAAATAATTTCTAAATAAAAATCGCTATTATAAATTTCAAAAGTTAAATTACATTACAAAAAAATGGAATCAACTAAAATTTACGTCAACTACCTTCACATCATCACAACTTCGTACTTCGGGATTTTTAAAAAAATCACGTGCCTCTTTATACTTCCAATCTGTAAAAGGGAATTATAAGCAGTAAACAAAACTCAACGCCAGTCAGATACTCTCAACAACGGGATGCTTTTTGAGGTCCAAATGCTTAAGAATAGTTTCAATGTCTTTGTGTTCTCTTATTAGCGACAAGGCACGTTGAGGGCCGACTTTGCCAATCGTCTCGCAGTAGTCACAACCAAGAAGAATGCAAAGATCTATAAACTAACATTGTTTATAAACTGGTATACAAAAGTTTGAAATTTTAAGTAAAGGAAAATTAAAAAAAAATTTATATTAAGTTAAAAGTAGATCTATTTTTTAAAAATGGAAATAATGAAAATATTCCCCGAACTTTATATTTTCTAAAAAAACACAAGGAAACCAAGTGACTTAAAGGCAGTTACATCAACCAATCATATTAAAAAAATCGACAAATAGAATAAAAGTAATCCGGTATTAACCAATAGTAGTGTAAGTAAAATGAATGAGAGCCAATAAACAAGCATGGCTTACTTGATCCATAGAAATATTAAGTTCCTCCAATGCAACATTCAAGTTAATTTCTTGGATCGGTAACTTCCGAGCATCCGAAAAAGTTATACGCCTTAACAAGATGGGAGTTCCAAAAGTAAGCGCATCCAGATCTTCAGTTCCAGTAGCAAATACCTAAAATAATAGAGAATAGAAAAAAAAATGCATAAAAAACATATAAAGATGTTAAAATGCTAAACTTCAATGAACGGATAATTATTAATGGGAAATAAGTTTTTACATGAAAATGGATACGGCCGTCAGTGGCGGGCTCGAGGCAATAAGCAATGCACTCTTGGGCCGCCCGCACCAATAAAAAAAATTAACGCCTTTTATACTTACTTTTCCTAGTTTGACCAGCTCAGCGCACTGCGCTTCCGCTTCGCACGGCGCCTAACAATAGGAGGAATATGCATATATAAGTCACTTGTAGCAGTATATCTTTTGATATTATAATAATTGCCCTCTCACCAACCAAAAAATGTTAACTGGACCAACTGTCCCATAATTGGTTGCTTTTAACTAATGCACGTCTTTACAGTAAGCAATTTTAAAAGCTCGAGAAGATCGTTGATCAAAGCATTACTAATAATATTAAAAGGTGTTCATAATTTTTATATTTTAACAAACTTATATAAAGCACGTTAAAGTTAAAGTGAGTTTTATTAGTTTTTACTCAATTACTCCACTGGTACTTTCTATCAACATTAATATAGCAGCTAATATTATAAACAAAACTCTTATTTTATTATCTTTAGAAAAGATGGAATCAAGTGCTTCACCCAAAAGCAAAACTTTATAAAAACGTTAAACGCAGATTATGTGTGCCTGGATTTCCATCCAAATAACAAATAAAAATTGAACCTATAAGGACGCGATAAAAAACGATAATTTACGGCGCCAAATGCTTTAACATGACTAAAAAACACTCCACAGCGCAATTACATCCCAATCCCAACCAATCAAATTATAGTAATGGCCTTGAAAAAAAGCGGTAAAAAGTGCTAAAATAAAAGTGAACGAGAAAACCAATAATAAACTTTTTCTTGTGTTCTTCTTATTAAGTATAATTAATTACTATTACTTATTACTACTTCTTTTTTAAAATTAATACTGACTCTATTGAGAAGACTGGAAGATTAAAATAAGATTTTTAATAATAATATTAAATTAAACAAAATTTCATGTTAACTATTACTCCTACTATAAAAGGTATAGAGTTAATAATAAAAATTACCTAAAACTGTAGTATAATAGTAATAAATAACATAAACATCAAGAATAAAATTAATTATATTAAATTAAAAAATTTAAATTATAATAAATTAATATGAAAATTTTATTTCTAAAGTTTCTAGTTTACTTGATTAAAACAAATTTAATTTGTAAGAAAATTTTTCAAAATTCTAAAATCACTAACATTAAAGAAAAAAATAAAAAAAATTATATTTATTTTTAATTCCTAAATTTTTCTGGTGTCCCTGATTTAAACAAATTTAAAAGTTTAAGAGAAAGATTAAAACTTCACAAATCAATATGTAAAATATATTTACTAAAAAAAAACTTACTTAAATAATATTAATAATTATATTATTTTAGTTAACTTAGTTATTAATGATTTACAATAACAGAAGAAAAATAAATTTCTATAATCAATTCCAATCAGAAAAATTATTAAAAATATTATATTTATATATTTTTTAAATGTTTTCTTAATTATAATTCATTTAGATTTAAGGAAATTTTCTTAAAATCTATTGCGTATAAAAAGAATATATTAATAAAACTATAAAAAATTATTATTTTCTTTACAACTTTATTTCAAGTTTACCTACTAAAAACATTTAAATTTAAAAAATATTGAATTTACAAAAATCAATTTCATATAATAAAAATTACAAAATGAACTTTATAAAATATATTATTATTTTATACTATAAATCAAATTTTTTTCTAGTCTAGTTTACTTAAAATTTAGAACAAGAAGAGTTGAAAAGAAAAGAATAAAATTTTTAAAATCAACTTCATTTTAAAATTACTTGACTAAACAAAATTTTTTAAATTAAAAAAAACCACCGAAAATGAAAAAATACTACAGATTTCCTAATTAAATTACTTTCCATTTATTATATAAATATAAAATCAAAACCTCGATGTAAGGTATTCCCATTAACATCAAAAGTTTCTTGCAGTCCTCATTATGTTTTTTAGTAGCTTTCACCATTCTTCGCGTAAATTTGGCGACATCCTGTGGTGTGCCAGACTCGTAAGCCTGAATTATATAAAAAAAATTTTATACTACAATTCAAATGTAAATTAATTGTAATAAAAGTTTTCTTAAATGCATTTTGTTTAAGATAAAAAGAACATAAAATAATACTTTATAATTTTTAATAACAAAAAAGAAAAATACGAATTTTAAAAAAATAAAATTATATAAATAAATTTTTATTAAAAATGAAATTATTTTATTTAATAATTTCTTAATTAAAGTAAAACTCATACTAAAAGTCGAGAATGAAATTATTTTTTTTAAAAGATTCTTAAAATAACAATATTTATATACAAATATATAAATTTTTATACATAATAGCTTTATAAAATAAATAAATTACATCCCACTAATCATAAATTATAAAAAAATCAAAACAAAAAAACCGCATTTATTCATAAAATAAGAAAAATTAAAAACACTAATAATAATGAAATAAATTTAAAATTTACAAAAGAAATGCAATTAAAAAACTACAGTTATTTAATTTAATTTCTACTAGTAATAAGGTTGTATACTTTGAAATATATAAGAGTTAAAATAAATTGAAAACTATAATTTTTATTAAAAAAAATTCTAATGAGCTAAAATTCTTTAAAGACAAAAATTTTTAAAGATTATAAACAAAATTCTAAAAGAGTAATAGTAGCGCTTTAAATAAGATTAATGATAATTAAAAAAATTGTGTTATAATAATATAAATATACTTAATATTTTAAAAGCATAACAAGTAAAATAATTATATATATACATAAAATACTAAATTTCGTAAAAATTGGAAAATGTAAGAAAGAATAAATTATGCTAAAAAAAAAGTTTAGAAGTAAAAAAACAAGCAAATTATATTTTATAAAATAAATATAATAAAATTTTATCAAAAAAGTAGAATATATTAAGTATAGAGAAATTAATATATAAAGACTTCAAGCAAACTTTTCTGTGTTTCCACTCTCCTTTCTGTTCTTCTCTCGAGTTCGCAGCTTTTAAGTTCTGGAGGTTTTCCATCGAAAACATAACTTAAAATTAATTTATATGGTGAAGTTAAAAAATATATAAAAAGTGGAAAAAAAATTAATAATAATTTTAATTTAGTTAAGTTAATAAAGTTATATACCATGGTTTGATTCCATTCTCACACATTCTAACGGTTCTATAGAACATGCCCATTAAATGACTATTAAATAATGATATTATTACAATAATGTACTGTAATTTTTATAAAAAATCAAAAATATATACCCTTCAATATATAATACGTTTGAATTATACAAGAAAAAAAGCTGCAGCTGAAGTAAAATGTTTAAGTTTTAATTAAAACCTAGTTGTTTCGCCTTCTTCGTTTTGTAGGTTATTACCTTCAGATCTAACAGCAACAAGAAATTGATAAATACTCGTAGAAGCATCAATGGCAATCTACTTAGTAATATATTAATAACCGGTTTATATTAACGAAACTCTTTAGTGGAATTCATTTAAATAAAATTTCACCTTGCGACCAAAATAGTTTTTAATTTCCTTCTCTATAACTGAATTGGGCGCATAATCTATTAATAATTGAGATAATCCTTTAATGCCCATTATTTTTTTGTAAAAATAAAAAAAGGATCACTACACTGGAAGGGTAGGATAATAAAAACCAAGTGCTCGTGCTCATACAGAACGCACGTGACAAGGAGATGGTAGAAGTGGTTTTTCTAACTTCTACGTTTAAGTATTAAAAACCTACTATCTCCGAAATAATTTTAGTTAATGAACTTGAACGTTATTGTTTAGAAAATTATTTTAACCATTTTTTTTTATTTCGCTAACTATTTAACTGTCTAACCAAAAGAGTTGATACAATGAACAAGTTCTGGAAAAGAAACAACGAAGCTATACATTAAGCAAGTAAACTTAAGAATAAGGAAGTTGTGTAAGTGGGACATAGTTATTATTAACTTTAGTCATAGCTGACCACTGACAATATAACTTTTTTTACCTTATGTAATTCACCAGTTTTAGGTCTTTTTATCTAGGATTTATCACTTCTATAATTTGCGTAATTATACTAATAAAATTTCATTATAAAGGTGCGTTTTGCTTTTAAAATTTACACATCGCGCTATTTACTTAAAATCTTAGCTTAGAAAAGTAAAACGACTTTAGGTATCCTAATAAAAATCATTTTGAAACAATGTTTACGTTTAAATAAAGTTTCTAAATCTGTTTAAAATATTTAGTAAAACTAGTTAACTTAGCATTTACTTAGTTGTCCTCTTAACTACTAATATATTTAGTAACTACAGTTATAACGCCCACTAGGCTTTTAGTCTTTGTTCTAGTCTCCTAGACTAAAACTACTATCTTTATAATATCCCTGGTCCTCTAGGCCAACTTAAAACCACAACAACAAAGACGCAGTAAAATCCGAAAAAAAAGACGGGAAGAAAGAGCAGAAAAATAGGTAGAACCGCCCGTATGTTCTATTAAAAAACATATATATATATATCATACATAAAATGTAGCATTAGATTATTAAGGGTCTAATAAACAATTTTCAGTAACCCTTAATAATTCAATTTTTAAACCCGTGCTTAAGGTGATTAAACGCTAAACAGTTTACGCTTACACGAGAACTTTGCACTCCCTACGAAAACTGACCTTGAACGTTGTACTTACTGTTACCGACAATTTATAGTGGTTGCCTCACGAAATATAAGGACATTTCACGTATAATGAGGTTTTTTGAGCAACTATTTTTTAGACTAAATAGACCTATATTCCTTATTCGTCTTTATGTGTATGTACTTTCCCCTTTTTTCTCGGTCCTCACGCCAAGCAACGCCACGCAAACTATTAATGTTACTGAGCACTTGAAGGCTTAAATTAAACATTTTAGTTAGCTAAACGGCACCCAGTAAATTTGTTCCTTTAAAGTAAGGATCCAAGTAGACACCTTTACTCATATAACAAAAAAATAAGTGAGTCACCTTTAATGCATATTATAGCAAAAACAAGCACTTAATATACCACCCATGCACATTTTTATAACAAAAAATAAAATAATTAACCAATAATAGTTTTCTCTAAATAACCATTATTACCCCATCTTTTGATTAGCCAATAGATAAAACTGAAAATTTCGGCGGTGGGGCAATAAACGTTACTTTGTTTAGCAACTCCTTTAATTTCCCTAAACCTCTTTTCCTTTATAGAAAAACTAAACGATTTTATATTAATTACTGCTTAATATTTAATTCCTCATAGTTTCTTAAACTTTTTACCCTACCTTTTATTTTGTTTTATTTGATTGCTCTAATCTGCAAAGTTTGGTAAAGTTCCCACTCTTTGACCTCTTAAATCACTGGTGATATTTAAAACACTAAACATTATTATATTAATTATAGCTCAATAGTATCTTCTAAATAATTAAAACTTATTTTTTATCTTTTTTATAATTACTATTTCTCTTTACAAAGTTTATGTAATACTATATAATCCTCTAGTTATTAATCTATAACTTTCTTGAGTTTAGACTTAAGATGGATCTACAACTCCCTAATGTTAGCAACTTGGGAGACAAAATTGCCAAGGTTTTTTTTTGTGACGTGCAAACTTTGTTGGAATTTTAGTTTTATGTCAACTTAGCTTGAACTGGAGATCGAAAAAGAACAAAAGTACAGAAGGGCTTCTGAGGATATTATAGTCCTGTACACTCCCTCGACTGACTCTAAAGTCGGTATATCTCCAGATGAACTGGAGAAGTTAGAGAATGCCAAGAAGTCGTTAATAGAAGCCCGAAGGCGTATAACGCGACTTTATCAGCAAATTGACCAACTTAAGTATCATCGCACATAAGGGAGGTCTTGTTGCTTATATAAAATTTAAATAATTTAGAAAAGCCTCTCGGTTTTCCGGTTTAAGTGCGGAGGAAAACGAGCTTCTTGACCATATTCGCGAAGTTATTCATCTTCTCCAAGTGGAATCTTCCGTTTACGAGGCCACTAAGCGAATAGCAGCTTTAAATGGGAAGCCCATTGAACTCCAGAAAGAACAAGAACGGCGCTTGAATTTATTACAACAAGCTGTGCAGAAATATAGAAAAAACAACAAAAAAATTATTGAATACTTAGAAAAGGCTGAACCTTTTGATTCTACAAGTTACCTTTCCATTAGTGGCGATCTAACAGTTAGAGTAAGTGTACACTTAAATTTAAATGCAGTGGACTACTTATCGTAGTATAGGTAATCAGCGCTGCTCATTTAGCGGCGCCCACGATCCCCGCCTCTAATAAAGTTGCTCCTTACTGTGCAGTTAAGCTAGACAACTCCACGGTGGCCACCACCACATCCCTTCCCGGCTCTCTTCTGCCTATATGGGACGAGGAATTCGAATTTAACTTAAACAAAAATCGAACTATTGAGTTTATGTTGTACAATGCAAAAGGCTTGATTTGCGGAATCGCTTTTTTTCATCTGGAAAAACTTTTGCAAACCAACGACTTAAAGCTGGATCTTCGCGTTGAGCCGCAGGGTACTTTGACTTGTGAACTTTCCTGGCGCAGGAAAACGGGCGGACATAAAGGCGAATTTGTAAGAAGAGGGGCTTTACTAGTTAATAAAAAGAAACTCGCTGTTCGCCACCATCTTTTTGTGGCCCACAGGCTCCACAAGAGTACTAAGTGCGCAGTTTGCCACCGTTCTATAGACAGAACGGGATTCCAGTGTTCAGGTAATGACCTTTTTTTGTTAATATCGGATGGAAGGCTCATGTTCTTGTAGAATGTCTTTTTACTTGCCACAAAAAATGCTGTGCAGAAGATCGGATCTTTTTGTCTTGCCCAAAAGTGGCCGTTCCGTGTATAACAGAATCCGCTAAGGCGAGTCGAACTAATAAACTGTATAGATTTTTTTGCCTATAATTTTTTAACCTACTAATTACAGTCTCGAAAGAAGTTTGAAATTCCACACTTGTTTCAACCTTTTAAAAGCTGGAACCTTAAAGCCTTCTGTGGCTGGTGTGGGACTTCCATCTTTGGAAAGAATGCTGTTAAATGCGATCGTAAAATTTTAAAGCTCTTTTATTAATATAAACGTTACTAAGATTTGTTATTAATAGATTGTCACTGGGTGTGCCATAAGCGCTGTCAAGAGCTTGTGCCTAACGTTTGTGGAATGTCCATAGATTTCGCACGTGCAGTAGCTGGCCTGAGCGTTCAGCCACACGGTTTTTACTGTTTATTGACTTCTTACTGTCGCTTGCAACGAACCAAGTTGAATACAGAAACCACGCCGTCTCCCGTTCCACCTGTAAAAGTAGACCAAATTGAGTTAGCCAAAGTGGAAGCGGCCAAAGACGACAAGTTATATTATGCGGAAAAAGCCTTTGAAGATCGGGTTAGTCTGCTCTGCAGATTCCGGAGTGGGGGGTTCTGGGCTTATTTAGACCACCATTATAGGTTTTAGGGGAAATCACAACACCCGCTGGTGTGTTGCCTACCAAAATATCGCTCAGCCACTTCACTTTCAAGGCCGTGTTAGGAAGAGGAAATTTTGGAAAGGTGGTGTTTGTATAGCCAGCACGTCCTCTGAAGGGTAACCCTCGTTGCCTTGCTATATAACAGGTGATCCTTGCAAAAGCCACAAAGTACAAACACGTTCCAGATGCACCGCTGTTTGCTATAAAGCTTATCAAAAAGTGGAGTGCTCTCGATGAGGAGGAGAGGTGGGCCTTATCCTCCAGACTTCATGTTATTTGTTATTTGTTATTGTGAAGTCACGCAGTATCTTCACGGAGAAGCGGATTCTGCAGCTGGTAACGGAAGTGAAGCATCCGTTTTTGATCCACATGTACGCATGCTTCCAGACGCCCGACCACCTTTGCTTCTGCATGGAGTACGCTGCTGGGGGCGACCTCATGATGCACATCCACAGAGCCATCTTCACCAACCAACGTGGCCAGTAAGCTTGCTGACCTGGATAGCTAGTTCACTCTCCATAAAGTAGGGCTTTTATTCGTCAGGTTCTATGCTGCAGAGGTCTTACTGGGTCTTGAGTTTCTGCACAAGCGCGGCATTGTCTATAGAGACCTCAAGCTGGACAACCTGCTACTCGACAAGGACGGACATATCAAAATCGCCGATTTTGGACTCTGCAAGGAAAATATGCGGCATGGCGACAGAACATCGACCTTTTGCGGAACTCCAGAATTTATTGCTCCCGAAGTACTAACGGCGGACGACTACACGCGCTCAGTGGACTGGTGGGCTCTCGGCGTGTTGATATTCGAGATGCTTGTTGGCCAGGTGGCTTAAGGGCGGGAACTTGGTCTTACTATGATCGGATTGTATACTAATGCTATGGTAGGCACCCTTCTATGGAGATACGGAGGAGGAGATCTTTGAGGCGATTGTGAAATGCAAGTATGTAGTGCCCCGATTCTTACAGCCAGCCGCGGCGTCCGTCATCAAGCAGGTCTTAATAGTCGCTAACGTGGCGACTCACGTGCCGACTCGATTCGAAAATACGCCAGTTGCTCGTAAAAGAGCCCCAACTCCGCCTGGGAAGTTCTGAGCGGGACGCCCTCGAGCTTAAGGAACATCCATTTTTCAACGGCGTTGATTGGACAGCCCTGGAAACTAAGCAGATTGCGCCGCCGTATGTTCCTACAATTGTACGTTTCTTAGGCTTAACCATAACATATAAACGATTTTATTAATCATTTTTCTGCAGATCAACGATGGATTGAGCAATTTTGATGAGATGTTTACCTCTGAGGAGCCAAAGCTCTCCATTTTAGAAGGCGGCCCACTGGATGAAAGAGAGCAGGCGCTTTTCACAAACTTTTCGTTTACTTCCAAGTGGCTCGATGTCTGAACAAATTGTTTAAACTTAACAGCGACCCTTCAGTAGTGCTTTAAGCGATATAATAAAAATATAAACAGCGGAAGAAAAATACTTTTTCCCATCATTTAGCAAAAAGGTGTTTATCCTATCGAATTCCTTTTTTCTTCATGTGTATTTTTCGTTAGGGTCATGATTCCTATAAAGGCCTGAATCAAGTAAAAAAGATAATAAGCGAATTTTTTAATTTTCTTTACCGTTTTGTGTCCAACAACTATAAAATTATTTCCCGTTGCAGACCAAACAATTTTCTTGACGAGCAAATCTGTTACTAAAGAAAGATATTAAAGTTATTATAAACATTTATTATTAGCAACCAACCATTTTGGAATCCTGGAATATGTACAGCAAAACAACCAATAGGAGTCCATAAGCCAAAGGCCTGTATTCCCGTGCAGATGCTTAAAATTACTTTTTTAGGGTGCCAAGCAAGGGAAGTGACGACATTTCTCTTTTAATACAACTCGCGTCAGTGCAATCCAATTTATAGCACAATTATTTAGAGCGATTTACCATAATTACAACAGAATTTATTTTTAAAGTTTTAGAATTATATATAAAGACGCACTTCGGCATGTTTTCTAGTAAAAGGAATTTATTATTTTAAGAATGAAAAATTAAAAGCTTTATTATTATAACCACTTTTTACACACAAATATGATCCACAGCCACTTTGGAGCATAACTGAAGCACTTTTAGCACAAACTACTTTAGGAAAGGCAACTGCCTCTGCTTTACTTACTACAATAACTATAAAAAAATAATGTTTGAAAATTTTAATTTAATTAATTTTCTTTTAGCGAAAGAATGATAATCGTACAAGTCATCTGCCCTTCCTGTTCAATTTCTTGAAAAACAATCACGCGATATGCAATAACTAGTGGTAAAGCACTAGGAAGCTGTCTTTGTAAAACAGGACGCACTGTAGTGGAGGTAAACACTGTAATCTTTAGAAACAATTGTATTAAAGTTTAATAAAAAAAATTTTAAAATCACTTCATAAATAAATCAATTAATTTTTTAAAAAAATTAAAAATTTTAAATGTCCTAACCGTGTCCATCGAGTTTAACGCCGCAAAGAAATCTCCAGTATTATACCACAAAAGATTTCGAATTCCCAGTATTTCCTAGAAATTAGAGCTCAATGACAGAAAGAATAAACGAAAAATAATAATGCACCAGGCCTTGCTCATATTTACCAAGGAGCATACCTTGAATGGAGTAGAGGCAAATTTTATACTAATAAATTTTAAAAGAAATAATAAGGAAAAATTATAGGTCTACAATTTTCATTAAGCAAAAATGAAACCGTTTCTTACATGTAAAACTGAATCCACTACACAAAAAAGAGCTTCAAAGATGGGAGACCATAATAAGTGCGTGGCATCTTTGGTACTTAGCGAAAATGCCTTTAATGTATATTAAAAAAAAAGAAAAACTAAATATAAGTGAGAAAAAAAAATATTCTTTGGCATTTATAACTTTTTTAAATGATTGTGTACTTTATGAAGTTGATAAGTAGTAGTGGAGAGAATAGACACGTAATCGCGGTTGTTTTCCTTTCTAACAATAGCAAAATATTTATTTCCGCAGCTAAATTTTCCGTCTACATCAATTTTTATAAATTTTTATTTATGTTAACAGTAAAAAATTCAAATTGTTACAAAAATATTAATACTTGAATAGTTCATTGACTTTGGTTTTTTTATAAAAGAAGCATTTTTGGTGAGCAAAGACCATATAGAAATTCTAAGCTAATGCAATAATATTAACATAATCCTAAGGTATTAAATACAGTACAAAAAAATACGTTGAACTCTAGAAGAACGGCAAAATGAGTTGAGTCAGGAAACCAGAAGGCATCAGAATAATGAAAGCAATCAACAAAGTTCTTTATACCAGAAGACTCCTCTTCCATGTCAAGAAGCTCAAGGTGGCAAGAATCAACATAAAGGCACAAAAGGAATCTAATGGTATTCAGAAGCTCTTAGATTGTTAATTTCTTTCTAAAAAATCTAAATTACATCCTAGCATTGAATACTAAAAAAATAAAATAATACTTGGAATTAGGAGACCACAACAATTCTTTAATGTTGCTGCTACAAAGATAAGACTTTTTCTTGTGTAGAAATCCATTTGCTTTGTACAACCACACAGTAATTTGGTTTCGGATAAAAGTAGCTAAAAAAAGATGGGGTTTTCCGTTGCCTTCGGAAGAGTCAATAAAGGCCTCTGAAATACTTATCTTAGAAGATGGTATAGGTATGATTTCGGGTTCAAAATATATATCCATACAGAGTAATCTTATAAGTTTACAAAGTAAAAGAATATTTATTAACTGTATTTCGCTGTGAGGTTGGCATAGAAGTCATGCTCAACCAGCAGAGGGAGTAGGATGGGCACTTTTTTCTTTTCAGTTAGCATTTTAATTGGCTACCATTGTTAAATTTAACATATCGCGAGAAGAATCTAAGCTCTAAGCTAAATTGTTCCTTTGTGAGGCTTAAAATTTTCTTTAAATGGAGCAAATGATACATAAAATTTCACAAAAAACTTCCAAACAATAATTGATTATTTCAATTCCTATATATTCATCGAAGATTTATGTTTGAAAAATCTCAACTAAGTTTAACACAAAAAAGATATACAAGTTTTCGATCTCCTTATGGGGTGTTTTTAGGTTTACTTACCTAAAGAAGCTTTTTTAAATTTGCTTCCATTAAAGTAATAACGATAGTCAAAATTTGAGCTAAGATAAAAGGGAAACCTATTGTTAACAACATAACGTCAAAGTTAATATAGGAAATGTATATATTGCATATAAGGTGTGCAGTTGGAATGCGTCGACTTGTAACTTTTTTTTTCTAGCCCTGGCATACCACGGCCGGTCTTCTTGAGACCTAAAGCCGCTTAAGCTGAATCTCCCTCTTCTGCAAGGTTGGAGCAATAGTGCCCGCCAGTGTAAAAAGCTTTTTAGAAAGCTATAATGCCTGTCCCGAAGGACTGGAAAAGCGGGAAATATTCGATCGAATTCCCGCCACTTGGCCAGGTGTCGTAGAAAACCATTAGAAACCACCATCGGGAGGGACAACCCTAGGCACAAGACCCGAGTCCGCCTGGAGACGCCGGCCAGTACCACTGCCAGCCAGGCCTCCCCAACTATGAGCTCCTCGCCCTAAGGGAGGAGCTCCAACTTGTAAAGTTACTAGATATTGGATCTAAAAAACCAAAAATAGGATGTACACAAAATTAGGGTTAAGGCCTCCATACTTAACTTTAAGTGCGCAAGTTCTAAGGAGAGAATACTTAAAGTTTAAGATGTTTATTACATAAAACAAACTTGTATAAGCCAATCTCTGTCACTGAGCTGATTTACTTTGCTATTGTTATTACCTTAAACTCGCTACGTTGAAAGATAAAAAATTATTTTTGTAACTCTATTCAATTATTTTGCATAGTTGTAAAGCAATTCTATAGGCCCAGCTTTAGTGATACGTCTTCTCGCACCTCTGTGCTTAGAAGTTATAAAGCCATGGTGTCTTTAGGTGATATATAAGTATTTGCCCGAAAGAACCATATGGCGTGTATATCAAAATAAACATTTTTAAGGTATAGAATATAATACTTCTGCTTAGAAATTTGCGTGCAGGTACTCTAAAAGATGTTATTAGGTGGTGCGTGGTCTATCAGGAACTCATCTTGAGAGTAATTTTTGGAAGAAATGGACTAGTGTCCCTTAGGCAGCTGGGGGTTTTCATAATAAATAAAATATTACTCAATAAATTTTCTTCCTATAAACTTATATTTGAACAACCTTGTGTCTTTTATTGTTAAGTTTCAAAATAACAATTGAGAAAAATAAAGAACCAATTGATTCAAGTTTAAGAACTCTAAGAGAGTGATTACTCTTGATATGAAATTAAATAGTACATTTTGTTGTTAGTGTTGTTTTTCGTTTAGTACTATTGGACATGTGAGGACCCGAAACTTATTTGCGAAATTATGCAGGATAACGCTAAAAACTCTCGATATATAAATTATAAACTAATGAGTAGTCTTTCTTTTTCTGAACTGGAACCTTTTTTTGTTTTTTTAAAAAATATATATTATTTAAACGAAAAATTAAAAAAATATATATTATAATTTGAGTCTAACACACTTCGTAACTAATAAAAATGAACACTTTTATAAAACTATTTTTAACTGAAATTAATCGGTTTCCATTATGCTATTTTACTTAACTTGTTGCCTTTATATGCGGTGGGAAGTAGGTTCTAGCTTAGGTGAGAAAGTCATACAAGATTGCTCTTGATTACACCTCTTGGAGCTACCTAGGCCTCTCCTGTGCCCAATGTATACTAAACAGTCTGAGCTCGAAAAACCGGGCATCTGCAAGAGACGTTATAAAAAAAGCGAGATCAGCACACCAATCGGTTACTGGAAGATGAGGTGGGAAGGTGCACGCTATCGCCGACCGCGCAATGGGCTCTAAGTATACAGTGGGTCAGGGTAAAACTATTTTTAATATATAAGGCCTAACTGTGCTTTTTGCTATAAAGGCTAATGATGTTATTTCCTAGTATACATGTATATAACAGCGCGGCCATATATATATATATATATATATATATATATATATATATGAGCATTGCTTTAATACAAAACTTATTGCTATTGTCTGCTCTATCACCCTGTTGAGAACTCGTAACTTCGGGGTTTTCTTTTACGACCCGATTGAGTACCAGGAAATACCATTTATAAAAAAAGACCTCGAGGACTGATTGCGTTCGGGTACTACTCTCTTTCTTCATACTGTCTTGATGCACCCAGTACTTGGCGATCGTTTTGAATCTTGCAAGGACGTCATTGAACAGTTTCAGCGTTGTCATAACGAACACAAGTTTGGGAAGTTTTTGGGTTATTGCAACCAGGCGCGACTAGAGTTAGACCGGTGTCTTGCTAAATACGTATACACTTTAGACATTTAATATATATATACATATTTTATGTATCTCTTATCATTTTTCATTTCTTGAGTTTGTTTACCGTAAACAAATAAGGGCAACTCTAAGTTTTTAGTATCTATATTTTCATATATATATTATTAAGTCTCGAGAGAGAAGGGCTAGAAATCTTGAGGAATCTAAAATAAGAAAGAAGAGACTAGAGGAAGCTATGGCAGAAATGCGTTGAGTTATACTAATCTATTTTTTTTTAAAGTAATAAATAACTACCTGTTTAAAAGTCTACTTTAATATTTTATATCGTGAGCTCTAAACCTTTTTCCGTGGTCTATGCAATTAAATACTTTGTATATTCCAATTATTTTCAAAATTCAAATATTTACAAATTTTTATTGAATTTTGAAGACATGATTTAATTTCTTGTTTTTTCGTTTTACCTTCTATTAACTTGAACTTCTTTGCACATATAAGGTCAACGTTAATAGCGAGATGATTTTCTGTTATTTTATATGTTAGCTGCAGTTGTATTGTTAATATATCTGGACCATCATGATTTAAAAGCTCTTAATTTACTAATTATACTAAAAATAATAACTATATATATTTTAGAGCTTATAAAATATATAACCGATTTGTCGTGACCTTTTAAAGGAATAAATTTGTTAAACCTTTTAACTTTTTGGTTAAAAAAGAGTATTAGAAAAATTTACTTAATTTAAACCTGATTTAAAATAACTGTTGGAAGTTTTTGACAAAAAAAACTTTATCATTAATTTTTGAAGTTGTTTAATGTTTCCAATTTTAAAAATTTAAGCTCAATATATTTTTCTATCGACTTTGTTCAAATAAATATTATTGAGAGGGGTATGACAGAACTTTTATAAAAGCACGAAGATTAGTAGCTTATATTAATATTGCTATTGTGAGCTTGCAAATAGGGTATATTTAGAAATTTGCCTGAAGCTTTATTAACTCCCCTATTTTTCCAAAAAATTATCTAAAGCATTTTATAAAAAATGTTTAAATAGAGTAGTTTATATTTTTCCAAAGTATTAAATCTATTTGTATCGCTCTTATTATCGCAATGAATATCATCTTTTTTTGAAACCGGGCGTCCTTGTAAACAACAAAGTACAATGAGTAAACTTTTTAAAAGGCAATCGGACTTATATTTTTCTTCTTTTCTTAATGGAAGAAGCGATGAACACGTTAATCGATATAAAGTCTTTCTCAGAGAGCTATACATAAGGCTCGTGGGGGCAGGGGAAAATAGTTACATAAAGATTATTCAGTGAAAATGACGAATAATTCAATACACAAGTTTTTATATTTTATAAAAGTTTCATACGGAAGTTCAGATTTTTTACAACACAAACTTGTGACCCAACGTATACATACCTATCGGGAGTTATTATAACTTTACCAACTTAAACTATTAAGTTAACAATGGTTAATCAGGAGTATACGATTTGAAAATATAAGTTTAGATTTACAAGATAGTTGTTAATATATATGAAGTACTTGGGTATATATAAAACAATGAAATAGTACAAATTCTATAGGAATATACCTTTTTATGAATCTAGTATGAAATAAGTAGATCCGCCCA